ACTCCAATGAAACTTTTCAGTAATATTCAGGACAATGTGTAGATGTGCATGCGCCATTTTCCCTCGAAATATTGATTGGCATGGCAACTGGTCAATATAGACGGGTTTTGCTTGTCGGTCAACTTCTAAACCTGTGGACCAATTTCAACAAAACTTTGCAGGAATGTTAAGGAACGTGCACATGCCGCTGTGTTTCAGAGGATGTTTCTGTGCAAAAGGTCACCATGGGGAGATAGCTAAGGCTGTGGGTGTTGGGGGTATTAGTTATCATTTGGATTACATTTTCAGTTATCCCTGGGCAATGTGGAGAGGATATAGTAATGATTTTGAGGATTGAATGTAGAGGTCACAGTACTTGCATAAGTACTATATGATTACCTTGTAAATGCATTGAGACTAAGTATACCTTAATCAAATTTGGAACATGTATCCCTTATGAGGAGAAGTCGGTTTCTTTAGAAATTCAGGGTCAGATGTCAAAGATCAAGGTCAGTCAAAAAACGGATAGATGCATGGGGGGTGTTCTTTGCATTACCCTCATTTTTCTATCAAATTTCACAACCTAAAAGATATTCACATCTTGCAAATTTTAAGGTCACTGTAAGGATGATAAAAAATAATAATACAAGAGGAATAAAATATCTTGTGACAAGTTTTAGAGAACAAAGAATATATAAACATGTCAACAGAATTGTAGAACCAGCAAAACAAGTGTAAAATTGAAACAAAGACAATATCTACTCAAGATTCCCTGAAAAAGTACAAGGAGAATAAGACCAGGTGTTCCGGAAGAATAGGCATCTTCTATTTTAAGTTATGGTGACATATCATATTTGTTTTAGAAAATTGGCACTCTTATGCAGTCATTTACAGACAATCTGGAAAGTGAAGCTGCCCAATATTTGTATGTAGCATGTTACCTGCATGATGGTCTAACTAATGGTCTTAAACCAATAAGATACGCAGTCTTTAAAGTGATAATATGGTGTCCAAGATCAACATTTCCTACAATATATCCAAAGAAATGGACAACTTCCCTATCATTGCATCTTGGAGCCTACTTGGGACATGTATTGCATAAGTAATACTACTATGCTTGTTATTTCTGATATCTGTTGGTCATTTTTTATGGGCTGCAATGATTTACTGCTTGCATATAGTTGGTTTCAGTATATAGCAAGCTAATAACAAAGAACTTATTTTTTCAATGGTCTTAGCATACCAGTACTTTCATTTTTATGTGATAGCAACAAGTATGACCTGATTGTTCGTAATAGTTTATGACGGTTGGTCACATATTTCGAAAAATAAAAATTGTTAAATGCTGCTTAATAGAAAAACAGCTTCTTACAATTGTTTGTCTTCAAATGTTTAATTTGAGGAATGAGTTGTTTTGGCACATAAGAATGTTCACTTCTAGGTTAAGACGTCCGAAGGGTAGTGTCGACAGTTAATATCCTGTTACAGTTATCATTTTTTTCCCCCTGACAAATGGAACAGGATATTGAGCAGTTTTCACTTCAAGGAGATAAGAGCAGGTTCTTCAGAAAGGTGATTTAGTGCCTTCTAATTCAAAATCACCCACCATGTCAGTCTTCAACAATCCAAGTAGGTAATATCCTTTCTCAAATGAGAACAAGGTATACAATAGAGGAAACAAAAGGCAAACATTTCCATCTTCGTATTGCACAAGGAATCGAAAAATTGGTTGACAGTGAGATCTTGCATGAAAATCATGATATTAGGAACAGGTTATTGAATATCAACTCCACTGTGACAAAAAACCTCCATAGGTTGGAGATGGAAGGATACTGCTATCCAGAAATGGAAGTCTTTAGTGTACATGTATTAGATTTCCGGTTCTGTCGGTTTATATAAAAGTGAAAAAAATGCATGAGATATGTATATATTTGAAGACAAGATATCAGTATATCAAAAAAAAGAAACTTAAATACTTTACAAGGTCTTTGTGAGCTGTTTTGGTCAATTCTTCAGCCTCTTATGACAACAAAAACAAGTCTGCCAACAGAATGGAAGATCTTACCACAAAGTTTGACCAAGATGTTATCAACTAGAAACTTTACCATGACCCATACTTAGTCACATTTGCTGAAACCTTCAAACAACCACTCATAACTCAAAATACCTTGAATCAGTCTATCATATTTCGCTGTAGGTTCTTCGGGTGAACTCTAAGTTTGCAAAAAAACAAATAATCTTGACCCCTTTTCCAACACACTTAGAATCAAGATACTCTGCTGTATGCAGTCCATCAAAGTTTGTGAAAATCAATTGTTTTAACCCATATCTAAGGTCGATGGGGTCACACTGTTATTTGACTACCCCTTCATGAGTTCAACAAATATTAATGATGAGAAATCTATTGTTTTGAATATCTGATGAGCGACGCAGGCATATTTGGCCTCTTGTTTGACTGGAAGGCACTTTATTGCCAGCAGCATATATGGTATGGTTTTCAAAACATCCATTAGTTTTTCTGGTCAGTCCCAAAATCAAATGGTCACATGTAGAGACCAAGGGGGACCTATATCAGAAATGTGAGAAAGATCCATGAAGGGTATTATAGTTTATACCTAACAAATTGTTGACCCATTTTAGCATGCTCATAGCACCACAAACAGGTCAAGTTGTACATTTCCCATTTTCATAAACTTTTACTTGGATGTTACTATGTCGTCTGATTTTGATCAAATTTGGTAGAAACTATCCCAGGCAGGTGAGGATGGTATATACTCTCAAACTGCTATTCAAGTCCTCAAGAGGTCTGTCAGCATTTTTTCTGAGGATATATTTTGATATAAAACTGTCTGGTATTTGATGAAAATTATTTTTGTGGTTTCCTTGAGCAATCTAAAAGTATTGAAAATGAAAATGCACTGAGCAATCAGTTCTTAAATAAATGCAATGGTTTCATTTCCTGGGACTTGAAATGTCTGGCGCCTTATCCTGACTAAGGGTCTCTATTTTGAAGAAGTTTACCAGAATCAAAACTGATCAAGGTAAAATGTTTTACTAATTAAATGTATGGTCTAATTTCTTATTGGTAAATATTTTGGTGTGATGTTATGAAGCACAGTTCCCTAAAATCATACTTGTATGGAAATAGCAATAAGAATCTTAATCAGACATCGATGCCTTTTAGCCATTTCTTATTTTTGTCATCCTTTTCAAAAAAGATAATGCAAAACTAGACTTAGATTCAAACAGAACCTACAAATAAAACTGAGAATGATCTGTTAAGTACTTCTAAAAGTATAGCAATAACAGACACAAAATTTACAGTGATTCTTCAAGAAATAGCAATAACAAAGTTTCATTGTCAAAATTAAAAGTCTGTCTGTAAGCTTTTTAGGTCGCCTGAGCCGAAGGCTCATGGTGACCTATTGCCATCATGATTTGTCTGTCGTCGTGCGTCGTTAACTTTTCACATATTCATCTTCTTCTCAAGAACCACTGAATGGATTTTGACCAAACTTGGCAAAAGCATCCCCATGGGAAGCCGCTTCAAGTTTGCGAAGAAAAAGGGCATGGAAACAATAGGGTCCCCAGGAGGGGGTAAAATTAGGTAAATCTTTAGAAATCTTCTTCTCATGAACCAACGGTCAGATTGAATTTATATTTGATATTTAGGGTCCTAATGGCAAGGTCTACAAAGTTTAGGAATGAAAAAAAATTGGGTCAAAAACGGCCCCACTAGGGGGCGCTCAAAAGGGTCAACAATTCAGCTTTGACCGATTTCAACAAAATTTGGTAGAAAGCATCCCTTAGTGAAGGACATATGAAATCATGTTGAAAAAAGTGATTATGTCCCCTTTGGGGCCCATAAGGGGTGTAAAAGAGGCCATATGTAAAAACCTTCATTAAATGACTACTTCTCAAGAACCAGTGGATGGATATTGACCAAACTTGGCACAAAGCATCTGCATGGGAAGCCACTTCAAATTTGCGAAGAAAAAGGGCGTGACCCCAATTGGGGGGAAAAGGAGAAACTTGATATTAATGTTCTACACAAGGTCCTGGCAAGTGTTTTAACTTTTTGGGGTGATTCAAAATCCAAGATGGCCGTCCTGGTCTCTGTTTGGCTAAAACATTATGGACTTCCTCTCAAGAACCATTGGGTGGGTCATGTTCAAACTTAGTACAGATGTTTTACACATGGTCCTGCACAAGTGATGTGACATTTTTGCAACATTTTAAAATCCACAGATTATTGACATATATTCCTCAGGTGACCGTTAAGGCCCTTTGGGCCTTTTGTTTGTTTTTCTGAACAGTCCAAAAATCAAAATGGCACAACAAGGAACCAATGGGAAACTTTAAATGAAATTAGAGAAAGGTCCAATCTGGTACTTTTTAAGAAATTCCTATATTACATTATCAAAATTCAACATATGACTACAAGTCGACAATTTTTTTTCTGATCAGTCCAAAATCAAAAGAGCATCACAAAGGACTAAGGGCAATATACATATTTAATTTGAAAACGATCATTCAAAAAAAGTTCTTCCCAAGAAATAACAGAATATCAAAATTCAAAAAGTTGCATTTCAACCATTTTAAGGTTATTTCCAGGGACCAAAAGAAACCTAAATATAGAATTTGAGAAAGGTTAATTCAATACTACTCAAGTGATTAATCTTTCAACAGTCCAGGGACCAAGGGAACCCAAATTTGAGAAAGATTAGCCCATAAACCTCTCAAGAAATATTTATAACAAATTTCAACTTTCAATAACAAATATAGCCATCTGTTGGTAAAATCATGTTATTTTTTTCAATCTGTCAAAGAATAGGCCTAGCACACCTATCAACAAATGTGAGAAAGATCCATCCATTACTTCTCAATAGCAATCACAAATATTGTTTAAGGATGACAAACGACTGATGGACTATAAACAGGGCAATTGAAACAGCCCAACATCTGATGATGGTGTGCTGAATATGTATATAAATATATGAACAATGATCAGACTCTGTTGATAAAATGAAATTTTTAATTGCTGATGTTTCATGATAGTTCAAAGTCATACAACTATTTACAACAAAAATGACATTAAAACGGCAGTATTTTTCTACATTGTCTCCAGTAACATCCATCATCTTTTCTTGAAACCATATTTCTTTCTTTCATAGAACAAGTCTGTTTTTGCACTTCCTAAATTCACGATCTTTGGACAACCATCTCTCTGAAAGATACAAACAATATGAAAAAAAGTAAGTACTGGGTAAAAAAATAACAACTTAGTGTAAACATGCATTTCTTTAGTGTAATTTCTAGATATAAAGGAGTTGCTTCCCTCGGACAAACTGTTTTTATTTTATCAATTTTTATAAGCGAGTTGATGATTCTAATTTAAAGAAAATATCATAAAAAAAAAAAATACATAGTTTTCTCTCAATGTTAAAAAATTCTCTTACAGAATTTGCGTAAATGTGAAATTCAGAATATTGATTAATTCAAACTAAACATTAGAATGACAGTAAATATTGGAAAATCCTGATGATATCTTATTCCCCTGGTTAATGGAATCTGCCGTGATATTCTTGTCAATTCACACATATTTCAATTATCAAATGAATAGCTCATCACTGTCAGTCACTTTTAAGTTTGATCTTTAATTGAATAACGTGGAGTTAATTTAATGGCCTGCCATTTTTACTAATGGTCAACTTTCAAGGAGTAAAAGAATTGTTTGCTCTATTTTGCTAACAAGGGCAAAACATGCATGGACAGACAAAATAATACCACTGTAAACACAGAACTCCATTACAAGTCTGTAAAGCGTTCTTACTCACATCTTTCTCCATAATTGTGCATTCTTTACAGTAGTAGGCATCTGAGACTCCAGGGCCTCCACATATCACGCATCGCCCCTGGTAAGAACCGTAGTTACATTCATCACATATCCTTACCAGTGTACAAGGTCGCACATAGGAGTCGCATATTACACATTTCCCATCACATTTCTCACAAAGTCTGCCAATAGCTGAAATGAAGGAAGAAAAATATCTTTAATACATTGTATAAATAATAGCATTCATAAGTAAGTATTATTCAACTTTTCATACTTTAATATCATTAGTTAATTAATAACATATCACTTAATATTATTTGATATAATTTATCCAACCACTTGAGTCCAATGTTTTATCTATATGATAATTGAGATAAAAAATTTGAATACCTTCATTTTTTCAGTACAATGTATTGCAAAAGAACAGGGAAAAACAAAGTTATATCAAGCACATGAATGGCAATCAAATTTGGGTCTTTGGTGTGCATGTGATATTTTAAACTGAGCTTAAGAAGAAATCACAGGATATGTATATATATGAATTGGAACAACACATTCCTATTGACTACAGTTTTACTAACTCCATCAAATAAGCTTGCTCTATCAACTCAATGCAGTAAAAGAAACCATTTATGTCAGTAATGAATAAAAGAGACTATTCAAATCTGTGTTAAGTGAAAGAGACTTTTTAACTGTGTTGACTGAAAGAGAGAACTTAACTCAGTGTTGAGTTTCAGGTATGGTAATATAGTTAAGCATGGAATACATATAGTTTTAGAGTCCAGGTTGCCATGGTATGGAATACATATGATGGATCCCAGAAAAAACATATCTTTCAACGACTTTAAAAAATTAGTAGAAGTTAGAATGGTTTTAGCTTCGAATATTCCATGTGTCAATTTTAACAATTTTCTATTTCTACCTTTTGTTTTTCTTCAAATTCTTCAAATAAATTTTAGCATAAATCCTTAAAGTCAATGATCAGTAAACATAAAATTGTTCCTCAGAGTCAAAGGTACATATATGAGCTTTGCTTTTATATACATGTGCCAATAACAGTGTTTGGATTGACAAATGTGTAATAATGCAACTTTGTGATGTATTGTAATGTTTATATGTACTTACATGTACTAGTGTAACAGATGTCATTATTTATTTCATTGTTTCCAGTAGGATTCAAACCTGGGACCCCTGGCTTACTAGTTGGACACTTAACAGATCGAGCTAAAGAGAAGTTCTCTCTCGCCATGTGGTATATTGTGACTAGTATTTTACCAGGGTTACATATTCTGCCTCTGGGAAAAATGATACTTGCCCTCGATTTTCCAGTGGTTACAGTAATTCTTAAGCAAGTCATTCTAATTATTATTCCCAAATGCCTACATGAGCACCAATGCAACAGAGTCAATTTGAACCCGGAACCGGGATTACTGGCCTACTAGTGTGATGCTTGACTGATTGAGCTAAAGAGAGCTCTCTCTAGCCAAGCAATATATTGCCACTATTATTTTACTGTTGTTACACTAGATATACCACTACTTTTGCGATAACTGTACATGTCAACTATAATCAGCATATTATCCTATTCTAAAATCCTTGCCGAATTCATTAAAAAAAAACTGAGTGAATTGTGGCAATGGGTCAAGATCTTCATGGATAAAGCTGATATGACCAACATTGAGAGAATATCCCAAAGTCAATGGTTTACCAGTGATTTTATCAGCCTCAGACAAAGCTCGATATTTATTACTCTGATTTATATTTCTAGTTCTTATGAAATATGGTGACTTTAATCCAGACTCGCAACAGCAAGTTATCAAATGTGCCTGTATAATATGCGTCCTGTGATGAATTTATTTTTGTTACGCTATTTCGAGAGTTATCTTTGTCTTCCTTCGTTTCATAGGCTTGTGTTGTCTTGTCTAACAATGGACCGCGTTTTAAATAAATTTAACTTGACTTTGCCGACTTGAGGATAATACTATATCGAGGACAAAAACTTTTCGTGTAGTCGTTAAATCGGACAAACAAACAAATATAGTATGGACAAAAAGTAAAACGTCAAAGCTTCGTTTTGCTGTGTGAAGCTAACATTAGGATCGGTAGATCATGATCAGACAAGAGTATGACTTGAAGCACAATTACTAGAATCGCCAGGTCATCGTAATTCATATTTTCTTGGTCAAAAGAAAAAAAAAATGCGTATTTTAATTTGCTTCATTTCGTAAATAAACTCACCGACACCTGGCTGCTTCCTACAAAATATCAAATCTGGATGATGCTTCGCCATGCTGAATTTTGTAATTAAAATATCCGGAATAGCATTTTACTGTAACGCAAATTATATTTTTGCTACTTTCGGCACTATTTACGCTTTTATATTGTTTATGTATAAGTAGTTGTATAAAATTGCCTATTCTAAGGTCAGGAGATTAAAAATGGTTTATAATTTTCTTGTACGAATCAAACTTATGAAGTGATTGCTTATTTCGTAAAAATTACAATTCTGTAAAATTAATAATAGTACAATTAGAACCGAGTCATTGTAACGTTTGTTTTAACTTTGGGTTTATGTCAAACGCAACAATGACACTGAATTCACAAATCAACATGGAGAAGCCACAAGACCACATGGAGGAAAACGAAGAAACTGAAGAAAACGTGACTTTTAAATCACTGGTAATTAATTTGATGTTGAGTTTACATAAACTGTCAGAACTGATAGTCTTTTAAGGAAATCATAAGTTTTAACTCTCGTATCACATTCAGGAGCACATACTTTTTCGGTGCTCGGTTGTTTCTGTAACCCTGCATCAGGCCAAGGGACTTGAAATATTATATTAGTATACGTATAGTTCTCAGAGCAGGGCGTTTCGCCACCGAGATACACTTGCACAGGTACTCAGAATATCTGGTGTACCTTTCAGTGCCAAACAAAAACAAAACGAATAATTACAAAGACTTTGAATAGAGATCTTCATTATATCGGTGACATTAGGAGTTATAATCAGACGAAATGAACAGGTTGTTAACAGTCCCACATATGGTTAATGATCTTGCATTTGAATAATTGAATTTGGAGAACATACAGTTCTTTTAAACGTTTTCAACAAAAAAGGTTCTGAGACTAAAATGTCATTTTTTCTTTTGTTTTATTTTTATTGTATATTGGTTGGTTGTGTTCTGTTTCTTTTTGTTATATATGCTTCACAATGCATTTGTTAAGCTTTTTACCCGGTATCTATTAGTTGATAAACATGTTTTCCGCATTATAAGCTGTACTAGTATAAAAGCTGCAGTCAATTTTTACGATTTTTTTTTTTATTTGATCCACATATTAGCTGCACCAGAATATAAATTGCACTATTTCTCAGGAAGTGGTAACCGTTGCATTCACCGAAGTTCATTGATATAACAGACAACCAAAGCCAATTTATTCACTTTTTACAAGTTTACGATTGAATTATACACAGATAATCCGTTCTTTCATTGATGTATTTTTCATTTAAATAAATGAAATAGCAAACATTTAACTCGCTTGGCTTGGATGCCTTCACAGATTGTCTATGCATAGACATAGGGCATGACGTTGTGTACGGTTTACTAAACAATCTCAATCGGTGTCTATACTGTACAGTTAAATACAATGTATTAACAAAGGCCCTTGCATGCTGACCAAATTTTTATAGTTCCATATTATTTCTTACAAGTTACACAAAGCCATTCATATTGTAAAGAAGCATGACAGTCGTTCAGGAATTTGACCTTTTTCCCCGAAGACCTATCGATCCCAGGATGCAAAAGACTATTGTAAACTTCCGCTATGTCTTCGAAGTTACCGTGAAAGTCAAGAAGATATTATTGTGATTCATATTAAACGGTCGGATTGATGAAATCAACAAGAACGTTATCTTGATTTTAATCTTCTAATCATACTGTTATGAATGCAAATGATGATTCAAGACGTTTTGTTTCAGTCACAAACACACAACAGGCAGGTATTTTTGAAAAAAAACCCTTAGTACTGTCTCATACTTTTTTCTCTCAATCTACCAATTTATTTTCATTCACATAAAAGCTGCATCGATATATAAGCCGCATGCCCAACTTACAAGGAAAAAAGGAACTGCTTTTAATCCAGAAAATAGGGTATATCTCCAAATCTGGCTGTAGGTATATGGGGCAAATTTAAACAATTTAGACAAATCTTAGTGAACCTTTACATAAGTAATGCTATGTCATTTCAGATTTGATTAAGTAACTAAATTTTTTTCCTATATTAGCCAGATTTGTCAGTGCTCAAGTACCAAAATATATAAAGGACACATGATCTATGCCAGCACCTGATATATGTACAGTTTTTTCCATCTTCTAAACAGTATATAGATGAAAGTATCATACTGCACGACTATAACATTAGCATGATATGTCAGAATCATCAAACAATCTAATCTGATATTTTGTGTTCAAGTGTAAAATTCATTCAATGAGCTTAATTGATTTTTTATTATTATTTTCTAGGGTGTTGTTGATGTTCTGTGTGAAGCATGTGAACTTCTTAAATGGAAAACCCCAACAAAGATTCAACGAGAATCCATCCCTGTGGCTCTTCAAGGTATATAACTTTTTTTGTGTGTGTATGTAAGATCTTAAGTGTTTAGATAAATGAAATCTGTCTTAATTGGTGTGCAATTTGTTAATCTTCAATTATCAGATAAACCCGTATCTTCCAGGGTTTTGAATTGAAACTAAAGAAAATCTGTCATGTAGCTTCAGTATAAATTTGGACCCGTTTCCAGTAAATATTTTGGTAAACAACCCCGAGATATTTAAACAACATGTGAATACAAGTTTTTAAATCTTGTGACAAAAAATGTGTTTTACAAAATAATGGTGTTACCATGGCAACTAGAAATTTGAATGTTGTGAAAAAAACCTTGTTTAAAACCTATCATATACCTGAAATTAATAAATTTGAGAAAAATATTAGCATACTATTGTACACTGTTAAGATTTCATTTAATATTTCAACATAACATAGTTGAAGGTAGGAATAAAATAGCAATGCGCTGTTCATGTCGCAAGTTGTATCATATCAGTAATACCGTACATGTTCTAACAAATCTATTGACAGAATTTTGTTTAGGAATGTTAATATCAACATGATTTGAAATTCAATTGAAATATCTTGTTTTTAATGAACATATATGTGGAATACAAACTGGACCCACAAAAAGACATTTTGTCCACTGCATACACGACGTCATCAATCCAAAATGTTAGAGAAAAAATGCCTTGTGTTGTAAATTTGCTAAAAACATTAGCTGTATTTTTGAAATCAATATGTACTAAAAACAAAAGTTGTTCAGAAATACAATATAAGGGAGATATGATGGTTTTCCCAACACTGACATCACAATGTGTAGAAATGTGCAGTAAGGAGTTAAGAAATTCAGTGGTTCAGGTTTCATGGAACAATTGTTATCATGTTGTGTAGTAGATCTTCACTAAAACCTATACATGTGTCTTTATCCTGGTTTCACAGGTAAAGATGTGATTGGGTTAGCAGAGACAGGATCCGGAAAGACAGGATCATTTGCTTTACCAATCCTTCAGTCACTTTTGGAAAATCCACAGCGTCTCTATGCCCTTATCCTTACACCCACCAGGGAGCTGGCGTTTCAGATCTCAGAACAGTTTGAGGCTCTCGGATCAACCATTGGAATTAAATGTGGTATGTATGTATGTCCTTATTAGGACATATAGAAATAAGGAAATCTCTTCCATGGTTTGTAATCGATACTGGATTAAATTTTATCCATCCATTATAAGATATCCAGCCAAATTAAAGGATTTAAGATGAATGATATATGATATGAATTTATTGCCTTTTGATATCCTGACATCTCTAGCCATTGGTCCTTACATCAGTAAGAATTTGTAGATCAGCATTTTTTTTCATTACTTTGGGGATGGGGCCCATGGCTATGAATTTGGGATAGAAGTGTGACAAAATATTAGGAAGAATAACAAAACACAAGGAGGTTAAAATTCATGATGTATAGGTTTATTTCCTATGTAGTTCATATACTAAGCTGAATGAAATATATATGAACTGATGATTGACTAGTTAATAAGACAGCACCACCAGATTGCATGACAATTAGTTAAGCTAACATTATTTTGGGAATTTTATCGATCAGATTGGAAATAATATAGAGTTTGGCATTAGGAATGGGGCCCATATTCGGCCCCAAATCCTGTTTATCATCAATCTTCATATTGTTATATTGTTATCTGTACATGTCAGATAGCAAAATCACAATAAAAATCATAAAGATATTATTGTTCAATACATATGTTAATATTTCATCTCACATTTTCAGAGGTGTATATCAATAACACATGTGTTTACAAGATAGCTTCAATGGGACTGACATAAAATTCAGTTTAAACATTGGAAAAATCAAACTTTAAATTCAGATTTCTAATTCAGTTTTTGTGTTATTCAGTGATATTACATACTTGTGTTATTTTGTTGAAAAATTGTATGCTTTTATTTTGTTGACAGCTGTCATCGTGGGTGGTATAGATATGATGACTCAATCTCTTATGTTGGCAAAGAAACCACATGTGATAATTGGTAAGTGTGCATCATATTCATGTAATTACATATAATTAAATGTGCAGTGTATGTCATTACATGTGCAATGTATTTATGGAATTACAGATGAAGTGTATTGATGTAATTACACGTAGTATGTTACACATATGGGGGATTTACATAATTACACATGCAGTGTATATGCCTACATGTGTAGTGAATTGATGTTATTACAGGTGTAGTGTATTAATGTAATTATCTTGAGGATATAGATAAGTCTGTAAAACTCTTGCTGTAGGCATGTCTGTATTATGATGTGATTGCAATTATATCATGAGGCATGGAGAACATTTAAGGGGAGATGATTACATGTTCTTGTCAAAAAGTGCATAACCACTCAGCAGAGTCTGATTTGTTTTTACAACAGTTCAATGCATTCTTTTCTCAAATTTTCGCCCAAAACTTACAATTTTGTCCATATTTGTTCTAGACAACCCTTGAGAGAAGAAAAATCAATTTTGTATAAATCATAGGCCAGACTCCATTGGGGAAGAGGGGAAATGCCGTCATGAAGAAATAGAGACATTCGTTAAGATCCTTTATCTTCTGTTTGAATGATTATTGTAGAAAGGGATTCAATTTTATATATTTGATTTAGAGTTGGTCTCCCTTGGGTCTGAGAGGCAGAGACCTATAAGGGAGAAAGCAGTAAACTTTTAATATCCAATTCTTTCAGTGTTGATAATGCAGTTGCTGCTAAGCCAGTCAGCAATACAGGCCTAGTTAAAAAAAACATTTTATAATATTTTTTCACAGCTACACCTGGGAGATTAGTAGATCACCTGGAAAATACCAAAGGCTTCAATCTTCGCTCCCTCAAATACCTGGTTAGTAATGGTGACCTTTTCTATTGTACAACACTATATAACTTAACATCATTAAAAAGGGGAAAAATGAAACAATGCTGTTCCAAACTGAATGTATAGTCTGAGTATGTTGGTTTATCCACTTACTAGTACAAGTAAAATATTATGGAAGATATCTAAAAAAAATAAATCTACTTCACAAGTGATATGTATTTAGAAAATTTTGTATTTCAAATGTGTATGATAGTACATAACGGGTGACTCTTGGTCTGTCACCTCTTAAACTTTGTTTCATGATAAAAATGGTGTAGAAAAAAGATTATGAAAGATGTACATGTATAGGGAAAGACGAAAACTACTTGAACTACATCATTATAACAAATGAAATGTAGCAAATTGCCTGATTTTTCTGTTTTTGTTTTTTTTGTTTTTTGTTCTGTTGAATGGTGTAATGTAAACATTTCCACTGTAAGATATATTTTTATTTGTGATTACCATTCTAACTCAGGTGTTTTGACATTTGTAGGTGATGGATGAAGCTGATAGGATATTAAACATGGACTTTGAACAGGAGGTAAGTTCACACTCGAATCATAATCACAAAAAATAATAGCTTTGAATTAAACATTGATGATTAGACGTAACCTTTTTGTGTACAGTGTATCCCATTCTAATCTCCCAGAGTTACTTCCCTTCATTTCCCTCTATCCGATGATATAGTAAGAGCTTGACCATCGATTGGGGCAGAGAATAAGTTATTGTAGATCTGTTGTGTTTAGTATGTACAGCATCCAATTCCCGTGAGTGTTCAGATATCTGAAGTCCATGTTTGTTAAGTTTAGGGTAGAGGTCACTAGAGTGTTTGAATTCATTGTCTTTGTCACTGGTATACAAAGGCATTTAAGCATTTAAACAACTTTGATTAACTTTTGAATTACTATTGAAACAAAAGGACATTACACCTGATTGATTTTGAAGTTTAATTGAACAGTTTATTTGTCGGGTTATTGTATCATATTTGCTGTTCAACTGATGAAAGGTTAACATAATTTATCATGTCAAAAATTTGTCACATGTGTAAATAAATTTCTTTAACCTCAATACACAAGGCTTTATGTGGAGTGACTTTTAAAAAAAATATTATGTGTGTAAAAAATACCAGATGAATCTTGACATTGTGTCACCAGGTGGACAAGCTCCTGAAGGTGATACCACGTGAAAGGAAGACTTACTTATACTCTGCTACCATGACAAAGAAGGTAGGTCACATTCAGATCTGTGAAAAATATACTAGAATTTCTTTTTTCAGAAAATACTAAATGAAATGTTTATTATTTTTAAATTTTCAACCAATAAGAGAAACACTGCCATCATTTGATGTAATGTTACATTGTGATTCAGATGATCCATAAATTATGTCATCTAAAAAAGCATCATATAGGGACTTCTACGTAGGCCACTCGTTGTTTACGACTGAACCAAAGTTTCTTATGATAAATGGGAGTTCCTTTGGTTCCATGTAAGGTCTTAAGGTGAAAAGTCAAGGTCATTTTTACTTTGGCTGCATTCGGCTTACCTCGTTAAAACAGTTCAGGTGGTCTGGAATTATTCCTTGAGACACAACCGCACATTTACCAGATGTTGGTACTGATATGTGTTAAGCTCAAAATGCACAGTTCTGGAAATTCCTGTCAAGTATAAAACAATGAGCCAGAAATAAAATATTAACCAATTTATCTCATACTTATTAGCATAGTGCTTCCGAAGTTACGAGTTATGTGTGTGTACTGACCCTGCTTTGTACTTAAATTCTAAAAAGTAATGATATTCACCAAGGTAGTTTTCGACAGGTGTTGCGGGACCCCTCAATCTGCATGTGCATAGTTCAACATGCCACACACAAAAACTGATCAGTGATGCTGAAAATTGCCATATTTGTAGGGCTGATGTTGTTTTTGGGAACAACAAATCTAATTATACACATTTGAGTTGGATTCGTGTTTGTTTTTGCAAACAACATCTGGTTACAGAACGGTTGAGGGAATTCACAAAAATCATTCAGAAAAAAATTCCATCAAGATTTCAACGATAGGAATTCTAAAAGGACAATTTAAAGAAAATTTTTCATTTATTTTTTTTTTTTGGGGGTGGGGGTTGAGGAAGTGTAAATACATCTGTACAGTCCAAATGACAATCACTGCTTTGCCAGGAAAAAATATTGAGAAAAAAAAAATGAAAAATAGTCAATTTTGTTTAAGTTGATGGTTGAATCTTGGCAGTGATTACAGTACATGTTGTAACAAAAAAATCAATACCCAGTCCTAGCCCATTGTAGGCAGGTACCTGTCTGGAAAAGGTGTGCCTCACTGTGATGTAACATACACTGACTGTAAGTTTGTCACTGGCAATCTGTAAATTTGCATGCCAGGATCAGAAAGTAAAAAATTGGTATCTTTGTAATGAATATGTTCGCTTGGAGCTTTGGTTCTTGATACTGAAAAAATTGCCATTGGATTGTATTCAGACCTGAAGGTCAAAAGAATAGGACATGCCTTTACTACTAACAGAAATACTAAAAAAAATTGCCATTGGATTGTATTTCAGGCCTGAAGGTCAAAAGAATAGGACTTGCCTTAATTACTAACAGAAATACTGAAATAATTGCCATGGCATTGTATTTTAGGCCTGAAGGTCAAAAGAATTGGTCATGCTTACTATAAATAGAAAATTGATTTCCATGTGATAGCCTTTAAAGCTCTTCGCTGTTGCCCTCAAGTTGACTTATCCACTATTGTAGTTGTCTTGTTTTTACTTCTGTTCCAAGGATTAAGCTGTACATGGATGTATCTCCTCTTATTTACAGGTTGCAAAATTACAGCGTGCCTCCCTTCAGGACCCTGTCAAAGTTGAAGTTTCATCCAAATATCAAACTGTTGACAAACTCATGCAGTACTATATATTTATACCAGCGAAACACAAGGTATGACTTCAGTAAGAAATCCCTCAGGTGAGAACTAGACTCTAGTATTCTTGTCACAGTTAATCTGGAACTTTATTAAGTACCAGAATGAAAATACCAGATAATAGACGGATCTCATTTCACAGATCTGATCTTTTGCTGCAGGAACAAAAAACAAAAACAATATTCCAAATGTTTAATAGTTTATAGTCATATTCCAGGTAGTTCAACTGTAAACAGACAAATATTTGTTGATGCACAGTGAACTGCAGTAATTAATGTTGTAGCTGTTGTTTTTGTTTGAATGGCACCATAAGCTTGTACCCAGTGCATAGCCTTGTCCAGAGAACATCATACATCACGTTCAAAATCCAAGTGTTTCTCTTTATATATATGTATATTCTCAACACTTTTTGATTGTAAATCTTGGCATAACCTAAGGGATTGTTTTGACTGATGCCTTTTTTTATACCTATGATCTCATTGACACAAGATAAAAGGAAGTACATTACAGTACTTACATAAAAACTGTCAAAGTGGCTTTAATAGTATCGCTTCTTTCATTTTCAAAATAAATATTTGAATTGCTTTTGATAATGTTTGAGAAAAATCTAATTTCTTTAATCTTTTAAAACTATCCAGGCATACAGTATGAGAATGAAGCAAATCTGTTCTACTGTAATAACTCAAAATAATTAACACAATTTCAGGTTGTTGTGTGGGAAAAGTGCCCTATTTGATGATAGAATTTGTTACATTTAAGTTTTGTTTTTTATTGGCTTATAGGATGTGAACTTGGTGTACATATTGAATGAATTAGCTGGGAATTCCTTTATGGTTTTCTGTAGTACTTGTGCTAACACACAGAGAGTGGCCCTTTTGCTTCGTAACCTTGGGATGACCGCTATTCCTCTTCATGGTCAGCTCAGTCAGGTCAGTAAACAAAACAAGCTGATAGCAGTATCATGTAATGGTCAAGGTGTGGTCATCAGTCCTGGGACTTCAATTTTGAATCATTCAAGCAGTGATATTTATAAGGTTTAAGCATGATTTTGTACACAATATTCTAAACCTTGAGCTTTCCTTTATAAAACATTCTTACGATTGTGTCCCCATGTATTTACCATGTAAATAACCATTATTGCCTGTATTTTTGCTTAAACAACAAATGTTAGGTTAGTGTTAATCATTGAATCACTTTTCGTAAATTTGATTTTAATTTCCATCTGCATTTAATTTCACGCCTTTGTTCATTCATTAGATACCAGGTAAGTACTATTCTTTCAAGGCTGGGAACTTGATTGATTCAGAGAAAATTAATGTGTTCAATGTCAATGTGGTTCATTCTGTATTTTGAATTCTTGTCATAAACCTGTCATAACTTTGTAGGGAATCTTTTTCTTTTGCAGGCTAAGAGGTTGGGCTCACTCAACAAATTTAAAAGTAAAAGTCGCTCAATTCTCATAGCCACCGATGTGGCAAGCAGGTAAGAGTTTTGGAGCTACACATTTTTGAGTAATGTTCCTGTTAATACTGAAAATATTTAAGAATAAATAAGAGGAGAGAAGGGAAAATATTCACTTTTCACAGAAGTAATAAAGAGCATACAATAGTGGGCATCGGGTTCCTTCTGGGATCTCTTGTTGCAAAATGAAATCATTCAGAGAAGCGAAAATAGTTCTCAAAGTGCTATTTACACATTTGTGTATAGCTACTGTAGTACCATTTACTTTTGTATACTGTTAGTTTAGCAGCAAAAAAACTTGTGTTATTTTTTTACGGTTAAAAGCAGTGCATATGTGTCTGTGATTTTTTGTTTTATTTATATTTTTATTGCTGTCAATCTATAGAGTACTGTATTGTTAGACACAGAATTATCACAAACGCCTGATGATTATAGTGTCTTGTCACCTGTGTAATGCTACCTCTTCACTCTCTTCTGAAAGTTCATAACATACATATAAATAATATACAGTTATTGTCTTTTGCTGAGGTGAATGCAACTATTTATTAACCCATATTTGTTTGCAAAAATACAGTTGTTAAGGAATACATCTAGGAGATATGATCTTATGAAACAAGGATTAGAAATTGCAGATTTTTTGTGAGACTTTGTGCGCAAACATTAAAACTTCAAGACAGTTTTCATAAAATTTCATATCAAATTAAATCAAATTTTATATAGTTTTTGTTACATAACTCAAAAAGAATTCATTTTGAAAGATTTTTAGGTGAAAATATGGAGATTAACATGAAATGGAGGCAGCTATCTTCAAATCATGATGTTATGTTACTGTCCATATGTAACCCTGGTAAAATACTAGCCGCAATATACCACTCAGCTAGAGAGAATTTCTCTTTAGCTCGATTGGTTGAGCGTCAGACTAGTAAGCCAGGGGTCCCGGGTTCCATTCCTAGCGGAGGCATTGAGATGAAAAATGACCTCTGTTACACATATTCTGATATCCCTATCAATATCTGACGGGTACTTAAATATAATGTCCCTGCTGTAAAAATCTTAAGTCCAGGTAAATCATGGAGTGGTCTCCCTTCATTCCTTGATCATTGGTGTTTGTATTGCAGAGGTCTTGACATCCCACATGTGGATGTAGTGATAAATTTGGACATCCCAACCCATTCCAAGGACTACATACACAGAGTGGGGCGTACAGCTAGGGCAGGAAGATCTGGGAAAGCCATCACATTTGTATCACAGTAAGTACCCCTCTACACCCTAGTCTGTATCCACAGGTTGGGGCGTACATCTAGGGTAGGCTGTTCACATTTGTGTTATAGCAATTAATGTAAGTAACCTACATACACCATCCTTCTTATGAAAAAATCAGCTCCATTAAGTGTTGTGAGGATTGTTAGGCCTTAGATGAAAAGGTCATGTTGATATTGTGAGTCTTGTTAGGTTAAAGTTCAAAGGTCATGTGTATTTTTTGATCATAAGTGAAAGTTCTTTTTGTAGATATGATGTGGAGTTGTACCAGAGGATTGAGCATCTGATTGGTAAGAAGTTACCGCTGTACCCCCGCGAGGAACAGGAAGTGATGCAGTTGATGGAACGTGTCACTGAGGCGCAACGCTTTGCCCGAATGGTATTGTATCCACCGTATTATTATTGGTTATTTGAAAACGGTTTTTACTTCACATGTGGATTTTTATGGAAAAGAAACCTCATAGAGATTGAAGTTATAATTGATGGTGAATAGAAATGATATCATTAAAGATTAATCCAAACTGTTCTTCAGAATGTTGACTGTAATTTTGAGAAGGAAAAAAAATCTTACAAAGACAACAGTTTACAAATATAATTTGGAAAAAAGATTGCTTCAATTATTTCTATGTTTTAATCATATTGTACCATAATGACTTAGATGATTTTGATGGTATTGTTGGAAACATTATTTTTCTTGTGTTTCACTGAATTATCTTAACCTACCGAGTTGGCTCATTGACAATTTTAACAAGTTGGCTCACTGGTAAACTGTACACAAACATCTTAGAACAAAATGATATATATTAAAACTCTAATTAGCATAATCATCATTTAGTGGAAGGAGAAGTCTGACTTAATTGGTTTCATTTCAGGAATTGAGTGAAACTAACGGTAAAAAAGGGAAAGGCAAGCGTTCAAAACGTCCAGATGATGAAGATGACACAGAAGAATCAACAGGCGTTCGGAAAAAATTCAAGAAAAAGAAAGGAAAATGAATTTGTTGATTAAATTGACATGTTATGTTGTTAAGTTTTGTACTTTCTATACAAGAGTCCTTCATATTTTCAGCAAGTACACCAAATTTGTATTGTCATACATAACTCGAATGTTATCAGCAGGTTTTGTGTGATATGTGATAAAGTATTGGGAAATGTGAATCCTACTTTTGTATGTTAGTGGATTGGAAAATGAGCACATTGGAAAATGTGAATCCTACTATTGAATGTGATTCACATTGAAAATGTGATACTGATTACAGCATGTGATGGCACATTGCAAAACGTAAATCTCAAATACAAAACAGTATTTTGATGCATTAATAATCTTTGATCTGTAATCCGAGATGGTGAAATTAGAAGACTGAAGATTGGTCAATAAAATCAACCACAAGATATCCTAGCACATGTATCAAATGAAGACTATATGAGTTTATTACCCACCCCTAATAGGTCAATGGATATTAGGAAAAGGGAAATAGTGGGATGTTGATGTATTACAATGGCACATGATTTTGCCGGGATATAGAAAAAAAAAACTATCAAAAAGTTACTGTGAGTAGTAATTATTCACTGTTTCTATTTATTTTAGAAAGCAATAAAAGTTAAAAAGAAAAGGATTTGTTTTTTTTTTCTTATTCCCCCAACCCACTCCCACACAACCCACCACCCCCAACCCAGATCCTGACCCCCAGCCTCAAATTTTATTAATAAAGAAATTTTGACACACATTGTGTGATCCATTAACTTATTCAAGTTTCTTGTGTCTGGTTAATTCACAATACCAAACAAGTCTGATTTGTAATTGCAGACAAAATGGTCAAAGCTGACCTGATAGATTGTCTGGTTGTAGAGAATTGTATGTTTTATGTTGTTCTTCAAGGATCCAGTTAGACAGAATAATGGTGCAGAATCCCCGGGTAAAGATACAAAAGATATATACAGAGTCACAGGGTAAAGTTACATATATAAATACAGGGTACAAAAACACAAGGCACATAAACATAGGGTATAGAAATACAGGGTACAAAAACACAAGGCACATAAACATAGGGTATAGAAATACAGGGTACAAAAACACAAGGCACATAAACATAGGGTATAGAAATACAGGGTACAAAAACACAAGGCACATAAACATAGGGTATAGAAATACAGGGTACAAAAACACAAGGCACATAAACATAGGGTATAGAAACATGAGGTACAGAAACACGGAGTACAGAATCACAGGGTACATAGGGTACAAAAACATGGGGTATAGAAACACAGGGTACATGGGGTACAAAAACATGGGGTATAGAAACACAGGGTACAGAAACAAGTACAGAATCACAGGGTACATAGGGTACAAAAACATGGGGTATAGAAACACAGGGTACATGGGGTACAAAAACATGGGGTATAGAAACACAGGGTACAGAAACAAGTACAGAATCACAGCGTACAGAAACACGGGACACAGAAACACAGGGTACAGAAACAGGTTACAGAAACACAGGACACAGAAACACAGGACACAGAAACAGGGTGCAGAAACAGGGTGCAGAAACACAGGGTATGGAAATAAAGGGTACGGAAACAGGGTACAGAAACATAGGGCATAGGGTACAGAAATACAGACTGATCAGAAAGAAGATGACTTACAGGCGACCATTTTGGGTCTGTCAATTGATATTATCATTCCTTTCTCTTGCAGGGATTTTTTCATTTTTATATAAAATGTACAGGGATAATTAAGAGTAAGAATTAAGGAAATAATAGAAAGGAAAGATCCTAGAGAACAATAAAGACCAAAAAATGGTGGGCACCAAGATCCTTCTGGGGTCCCTTGTGTGTTGTCGTTTGGATAACCAAGTTTTATTCAATTCAGTGGCACTTAATCTTTCATATACACCATCTGGTTCAGACAGATGCATCTGTGTTAGTAAAAACAGAGTTGAACATTTTCAGTATTTTGGTAATTTTTCAAAAAGAAGAAAGAGAAAGAAAACCCTCCAAAGTAAGGACTCAAAACCTGAGTTTTTTTATAGTCTTATTTCACCAGTGCAGAAAAGGGAAGTTAAGAAAAACTAAAACGGCAGAATTGTACTATTAATAATTTATTGAACTGTATTTGATTACATATCTCACATGCAATGAGTACATCGAAATGTCATGAGAAGAGATCACAGCTACAAAGGCATTAAAATACAAGCTTGATATTGGCTTAGCCAAATGATGTGTTGTACTCATGGACTGGCTGAAATAGAAATTGCACTACCCGCAAAACATAAACATTTCAAATCGAGAGGAAATATTGGCAGAGGCCCAATTATGAGAAAGACCTACAAGCACACAATCCTCAAAAAATTGCTTGTATGTAGACTGCCAACACCAAATTTACCAAATTTTTTTTTTTGTTTTTGGAAAAATAAATGCTTGTTTAAGGTTAGGTTGTACTTATATGAAAAAAATTGACAATAAAATCTCGTAATAATTATTTCTTCATATTTTTTTCTGTTCGAAAATATTTAAATGTTTGATCTTCCTTTTTGAAAATATGAAGTATTATCATCTTTTTAATGAAGTTTTGTGTAAATCTGTTTGAAGTTAACAACTTGTCCATAATTCTAACTTTAACAGCTGTTTCCTATCTAATCTCACTAAGCCATATGTGGTCACAATTGCGTTTATACACCTGCTGAACCTTGTGTGGCCTGTTGACAATGATTAAAAGTCATGAGATGGATATGTAGATGTATGGGCCCCCTTACACTCAATTCATGCTTGATGCTTTTGATTATTTATTTCACATCGGGAAAATGATTCAATTTGAAAAATGACACCTCATATACTAATTCAATATTGTTCTGATTTCAAGAAATTCAGGTGATTGTTCCATTCAACTTTAAAAATACAATTCTAGGACTACTTTATGTCGTAGTTGGCAATCCTGATTACCCAGATACATAATATAAATATTTCATACTAATATTTTCAAGAATTTGTCTATCCACTGTCTTGAATTAAATTAATAAGAAAGATAAATATATTTCCAACTGACACACAACACACAAAATTCCTGAAGCTTCATAAGGTCCTTTAAATTCATTCAAAGGTTTATTCAGTATATCGTTAAAAAATTTCACGATAATTTTAATAATTCTCACAACTCTGTTTTTATAACGAAATAATTTTGATATCCTACTGAGATGTCTATGTAAATTACGTCGATGAACTCTTAGTTCTTGGTGATACGAAATACTAGACCTTTCTTACAGGAATGTTAATGTATTGCATGTAGCATGGATTTATATAATTAATTAGGTGGAACTTCAGAAATCTGGACAGTTCAGCTTACGAAAAAAATAATTAATTTTTTGTGAATTATTCAAAAACAAGAACCTGTCAATAATTCAGTCCTTGTGTAAAGATGTATTTTAAGAAAGTAGTCCAGAAAAAATAAAGTTCCCCTGTAACACTATACGATACATTGTCTTATATGAGTAATACCTGTTATATTTGTTTACATTGCTAGGAATTGTATCTTGTAATATTATTATGATAATAAAATCTCTGTAAAATTTTGTCAGATTTTTATAAATAAAAATTTCTATTATTTTTCTCTATTATTATGCAAGACCTTGTTTTGCAAAAGTGAACCTATAAGAACAAGGATACAATTTGCCTTGGAATAATCTCCCATCATACTGTGACAGTTGGACAAAATGTTCACCAGTCTACTGACACTTTAGTGATATACCAGATGTACTGAATCTACACTGCAGTTGTGTATCAGATGTACTGAATCTACACTGCTGAATCTACACTGCAGTCATGTATCAGATGTACTGAATCTACACTGCAGTCATTTGCCAGATGTACTGAATCTACACTGCAGTCATGTATCAGATGTACTGAATCTACACTGCAGTCATGTATCAGATGTACTGAATCTACATTGCAGCCATTTGCCAGATGTACTGAATCTACACTGCAGTCATTTGCCAGATGTACTGAATCTACACTGCAGTCATTTGCCAGATGTACTGAATCTACACTGCAGTCATTTGCCAGATGTACTGAATCTACACTGCAGTCATTTGCCAGATGTACTGAATCTACACTGCAGTCATGTATCAGATGTACTGAATGTACACTGGATCTATGTTGCATTGATATACCAACTGCACTGAACCTGTACCAAAGTGATATAACCATTGTGCTGAATCTTCAGCTGTACACTGAATTCACACTGCAACTGCTGTATATAAACCAGTTGACTACTGCGGATCTTTATTGTACTTCCAGTATCTCAGTGAAACTGAGGCATAACCAACAATAGATATATACTGTTGATATACCATTGGATCAGCTAAGTGTAGCCTCCTTGCGCAGATCTATCCAATACATAATTGAAATATCTGTTGTGATATCACTGTGCTGTATATATACTGCAGATGAACGCTGGGGTTGCCTATCTCATATCTATTAGCTAATCCTGGAGTACTTTTCCTGAACTTCAGATGATTAATGTCAGCTCCTGGGAAAAGAAAAAAAAAGAAAATATGTTAACAATGTTCTGGTGGATAATATATCTGCCAGTCAAAAAAATTGTTTATATCTTGTTTACAGATACAAAAGTAAAACTTAAGTGGGAAGTAAACATCCGATTGATTTTCAGAGTGGAAAAATCACAGTAGTATCTTGTGAAAACTACTAGGGTCATACAAGGACTAGTCTTTAGGGCAGACATCAATACCCTAGATATAAGGATCCCAGGTAAGACAATGCAGTACGGTGGATTTAATTTGGGAAAGGGACCACATGCACAGCATTAGAATCGCACCATGGTGCTAGTGTAAATAAGTATCAATAATATTTGTGTGGCAAAATTTTCTGGCTTTTCAAAGAAAATAAATAAAGAATTAGAAAAGGAAAAATCCAGGAACTTGGATAAATAGAATTCAATAGACTACTTAATAGTATTCTTACCAGAAATTAGTGGATGCATACAACTAAACCATGGATAAAGAGTACCCACAAAATCAAACGCTCACTTGTCATTCAATGCTGTTTGCAAACACATATTACAATTGTGAATTTCAAAGTGAGTCATGGTCAAATTTATTTGACACCTTTGTTCATAAAAGTTGGTCAAGGTTAATTCAAGTTCAAACATTGTTGGACTTTTTATAAAGAAGTACAAGAATAATTTTTTTAATATATATATATTTAAGTTATTTGATCTTTTAACCCTTTTGACCTCACAAGTGGGTCAAGGTAAGTCATTTGAACAGCTATTCACTCCAGCATGCTACAGGCATAATATCAGTATCATGCCTCTTATTGGCTGTTTAGAAGTTGTATTAAGATTTTCAAATATTTGAAACCCTTCATTTGCTAAAAAGACACCGTATCCATTCATCCCAGCAAGCTACATGCCCAATATATTACCCTGTGTGTCTTGGTTATTGGTTGATGCTGGATGGATAACATACCAAAACATAAGCTGACTTGCCGCCTTCAGGTAAATGAGCCAAAATTAAATCCCCACTGAAAATTATGACTTCACAGTAACTCTTCTCAACCAGGTATTGATAGATTTCATTTCTGTTATCATCTGTGTAATTAAAAGTATATACATAAATACAGGTTCAGTGTTTATACACTTACTTGGATGTTTTGAAGAACTTTTTCTGTATCCAGCTAGTCCTTGATCGCCTCTCATCACTACTGGTACCAGTGGCCCTATCCTCACCCCTGGGCCTTTGCCCCGGGGCCACGGTAACCTTGAGCTGACTAACGGATTCACACTGGGCCACTTGTGTGATACCTAAATCCACAATTGTTTGTTGACAAAGAAAACCAACAGTTCCCATCTTTACCTTACCTAACTTTTTAACTTTGTGTAACTTGGGGAATTGTTCATGTGATGGTGTGTGATGTTGTGGTAATGAATCTTTAGCAGCTGCCATAATAGGCGGTGCAGGATCTTCCTGACAGGTTGCTGTGGTAGCGGCACGCTCCCTGTAGGCAAAGTCAGATGATTTTTGTTCCACTTGGAGAGTGGGCATGGATGAGAAGCCCATTGGAGACTCCGAGCGGCGAAATGTACCTTGTGTTTGAGCTACACTAATGGAACTAGTACTATCATAAACTTCGGCGAGATATTTGACTTTCTTTCCACCGCCATTCGTAAGATCGGACAAGGGAGCACTACTATGTGTCTGTTCTGGTTCACTTGTTGTCGACAACTTTTGCACCATACTTGGAACAAATGTAGACTTTGTGTGCGATGAGATAACGATATCACGTATCCTTCTATCATATTCTGGTGTACTTTCTCGGGAAAGCTTTTTGACAATGCTTTTTACATATCCTTCCGTGATATTTTCCTTGTCATAACCTTTCAGCACAAGTTCTGCATGTTTTTCCATGTGACCAGTGGTAGCGTACTTACGAAGAATGCGCGACATGTACACGGAATGCCCCTTTCTATATCGTCGACTCTCCTCCATCAGCTCCTCGGCTGGTCTTATGCGCTGGGCATATGACAGTTGTCTGGTCCGAGGCAAAGAAGCTGGGTGGGTTCTGCGTTTAGAGATTATTGGACTTACTGCAGGACTGATTCTTACCTTCCTCCCAGAGTCGACGTCTCTGTTGTGCTCTCGCCCACATTGAGATGCTGGCGCACTCTTAACCTGTTTCAGACTAGAGACACTGCTAAAAAAGACATCAGTTTCATACAGACTGTCCTCTGTGTCATCCATCGACTGGGACATCGAGTCGCTCGTCAAGTCCGACAAAGATGGGCGACTGCTTGCCTCACTTATAGCTGGTGGTTTACTTGGCAAATCAAAGTCATGGTCCATAGATTTACTTCTAGAATCTTCCCTAAAAGCTTTCCCTTGTGATGGTTTTGTAGCACACTTGGAGACAGAACTCGACACTAACGTTTCCTCTTCCTGACGAGGTGTGCGTCCACTTAGCAACATCATCGCCTGTTGCCGGATGACCTGTGGTAGAACAGGCGGAGGTTTGTAAGGTTGTGGCAGAGATATATTTGCAGTGGGAAGTTTGACCGCAGGGATCTCACCACCAGCACTTTGAGAAACTTTAATCACTTTGGATTGTCCTTCTGACAACTGAACCGAATCTTCAGTTTCAACACGTTCAATTTCTTTTTCTGTGTGCTCTTGATCAGAAACTTGTGAAACATCAGTTGTGGACTCGGGAAAATTATCAAGATAAAACTGAGTTGGAGCACTACAAGATATTGATTGTTCTATCTTGTCTGTAGACTGTTCATTCTCCTGCTTCGTATGAACTGCAATTACAAAAGGAAAATTGAGTGCAATGTCATGAAAAGTATCTTTCTGCAGTCAATTTTCACAACTTCAAATAACAGAGGAAATATGGACTCTTTTTCTATATACATACTTCAAAAACATAATTTAACTGAGACAGAGAGATGAATACTGTAGTCTCCTACAAGGCCTCAAAAGAATTTCTTTTCATTATGTGAGAAAGTTCGAGTAAATTTGATGGATGACTGAAGTCTCGTTTATGATGTAATCCCTAATGCTGTACGCAGCTGCCGAGTTCAGACAGAGATATATTATACTGCCGAGTTCAGACAGAGATATATTATACTGCCGAGTTCAGACAGAGATATATTATACTGCCGAGTTCAGACAGAGATATATTATACTGCCGAGTTCAGACAGAGATATATTATACTGCCGAGTTCAGACAGAGATATATTATACTGCCGAGTTCAGACAGAGATATATTATACTGCCGAGTTCAGACAGAGATATATTATACTGCCGAGTTCAGACAGAGATATATTATGCTGCCGAGTTCAGACAGAGATATATTATGCTGCCGAGTTCAGACAGAGATATATTATGCTGCCGAGTTCAGACAGAGATATATTATGCTGCCGAGTTCAGACAGAGATATATTATACTGCCGAGTTCAGACAGAGATATATTATACTGCCGAGTTCAGACAGAGATATATTATACTATATTATGCTGCCGAGTTCACTATATTATGCCGAGTTCAGACAGAGATATATTATGCTGCCGAGTTCAGACAGAGATATATTATACTGCCGAGTTCAGACAGAGATATATTATACTGCCGAGTTCAGACAGAGATATATTATACTGCCGAGTTCAGACAGAGATATATTATACTCCTGCCGAGTTCAGACAGAGATATATTATACTGCCGAGTTCAGACAGAGATATATTATACTGCCGAGTTCAGACAGAGATATATTATACTGCCGAGTTCAGACAGAGATATATTATACTGCCGAGTTCAGACAGAGATATATTATACTGCTGAGTTCAGACAGAGATATATTATACTGCTGAGTTCAGACAGAGATATATTATAACCATAGTTTACAATTACTGGAAATTCTTATATTTTGGTGGGACATACCCACCATTTCGTGGACACTTGATTTCATAGATACAATAGCTAATTCTACCTATGCTTATTTTAACAGTTAGACGATTTAAAAAATTTGTGGATTAAGTGTACCCCAAAGATACATAAAAATAAATCTCCCAAGAAAAATTAAGGATTCCGTTTGGAGCCTCTATATATCAGCTGAAATACTAAAGCTAAGGTTGAATCTTTTATATAAAATATATGGGATATATTTTGCAAGGAACTTTTCACATACTGGATTCCAAGATAGATGGTTCCTGTTATTTTGGAAGCAACTTTGAAGTGTGATTTAATTTCCACACACATCCATCATTGCTAATGGATTCAACCTGTCTTGTAAATTTTCGTTACAGAAAACATTGTTAATGGTTCTTAACAATTGAGGCATGGGTATTTCTTGGAAAAAAAAAAAAAATATTGTTTCTAGCAACCAAAGATGTTGCCATAACAACAATATCATCACTGATGGTTCTCTTATTTTTCATCCTGAATTTTGTTTACATTTCTTACCTGGTGTTTCCACAACGGCAGCCATTACTGATGACTCTCCACTGTCTTTGAGGACTTGGGAGTATCTTTTGTATGGTTGAATACTGTCATTTTCTTTGCTTTCATCCTACAACCACAAGATTTTATATTATGAAGGTCAGGTACTGTCAAGGTCAGATTATTGTAGATCATAGAAATCTCAATGTTACACCAGAAGTCTTTTCAAATGGAATCATTATGACCATATAAGGGTATCATTTGGGTGTAAACGGAGGATATGGTAAAATCATTCATTTTAATCTGTAACTACTTGTCTTTGATTTTGATTTTCTGAATGATAAATAGAAAAATTGACACAGATTCTAGTATGGTAATAGTGAATATTGTGATCAAATTTTAAGCATAAAATGAAGTACCAATGAAAATCTATAATTTTGGAAAACCATGAAATTCGAGCCCCACTAATAATATATCATTTTACAGTATATGTTTTATCTTGAGTGCTGTGCAAAAAATACCTATATAAACAGCAGCTTTCAATACAAATTTTAAATTACAAATACAGTAGAGCCAAACAATACACCATACAGCTGTTTCATCCTTCAAGGACTCGTCAGTGATTATACAAATATAAATTTTGAAACCAAGCATCTGGTTTGGATGTTTATTAATCCTTAACTTATGGAAGTTTTTAATAAAAAATTGACCTGATTCGACTAGTGAACTACCATACAGCCTCAATGCCATAAACAATGAGCATTTGAAAATAAATTTATTTGTAAATTACTCCAAACTACACCATAATCTGTTTTATGTTACAACTTTTTTTTGTATATGATTTAGATATTCAACTTTTCTAAAAAATTCAGTTGTGGAACTTTTCCAACATTAGCCTTACACATTATAAATCTGATCAAAAGAATTTTTCACTAGAATTATTTCCCATGAAATCATGTTCCAATACATTACAATACATGCAATGATAAAATAGATAAAAAGTATAATCTCGGTCCTCTACATGTTCTGTCTGCTCAATTGAAATTTCTTTGTGAAAACATTTTAGTCAGCAATGTGGCTGCATAATATCATTATTTACAAGTCTTGTCCTATCATTAAACAAATTTCAGGCAAGATTTGCACATAAGATGGCACTGTGTTTGAAAATCTCTCAAAATGCATTTTAGATTCCTTGAAATAGTAATTTTGGTAAAAAGTTAAGGAAAAGGTTTGGGCATCATGCATCCTAACTCCGAGTATATTTAAATAACTTATTTTCATAAAATTTTTGGTGAGGTATTTAATCCTTGTGCATTGTCATGGTAACTTACTTGTTGACCGTCTTTGTTGCAGAGTTATCCTGGAGAGCATGTTTCAAGAGAGAATTAATTATAAAAGTGTGTTGCTGATAAAGGTTAAAAAGATAAAGGTTCTTGAAAAATCAACACATCCAATTTTCAACATTTCAGATATTATTTCAACAAAAAATGTTAATTGTTGATGTGATTTTGTGCCCTGACCTTGTCATATTAAATCTATTTAGTGTACAAAATTCTGAAAAGACTTAATTTTAATGTACAAATAAATATAGTAGTAGTAGTGTATAAATTGCTGTAACAAGTACATTATACCTGTTTTAAGGGCAAAACGGACTTAATGATTTATAGTCCTTTACAGAAAACGTTTGTACAAACCGTTCGTCCTTCCACTATTGAGAATGTGTTCCAACGTTTAATGGCGGGGCCACGCTTTGTCTGTGATTTATAGTAATGTAGTTCAGTCTCTCGACGTGTAATGTCTGCCTGCAGCAGGAGGTTATTTGCTTCTTGTAACAGCAGTTGGCGCTTCATGGTCATGATCTCCTTGTTCCGCTCCAGTTGGCTCAGCCTGAGGTTACTCAGCTGGGAAAACAAAAGGGCAATAACAGATACATGTATTAATATTGGAGTCTAATATTTGAACATTTCATACAATGGTTTTATAACACAGAATTACCTACATTTTTTACATCATCAGTACAACTGAATTATTCTTTCCAACTTTATAATGACTTTTATGATTTTGTGGCACGACTAGGGGAGACAAATCAATGTACTATCTTACAACCAAAAGAGAAGGAAAAGTAATTGCATTGTAGTCTGTTATAAGGTATCACAAAGGGAGACAACTTAATGTTTTAACCTTAATAAATTGGTAGTAATTACAGCAGCAAAATGAAACCACTCTAAATTTGGCCTCATTGACTTGACTGGAGATCAATACCAGATTAAATCAGCTCGTAGGAATCACAACCTATTTTAGTCTCCAGTTGATTTGACAGTGTATAATTACCTGGACCTGTAGTTGCATTGCCTGTCCGTATAACTTTTCAAAATTGCCCAGGGCATCAGATGTATAAAAGCATTCCTCTGTAATGCAAACAGAAATTATCATAAAACAAACAAAAGCTGGATTTTGAATAAAAAATAACTAACAACATGGAGTAGAAAATGTCTGCAACAGTAACTGATATCGATTTTGGAACTAGTAAAAAAGTGACCTGGACCCTATAACTCATATAAGCTACTTGGTGTACAGTGACCTTGACCCTATAAGTTAACTAAACAACCTGGTGTACAATGACCTTGACACAATAGCTTGACTACACTACCTTAAGGACAGTGACCTTGAACTTACCAGATTGTGAGGCCTGCATGAGTACACCTTTCATCTGTTCCAGTAGTTGTACAAGTCTAGAGTTGACATTTTCTTGTCCCTCAATGCTCTGCCATTTACAGACCTATGAACAATTCATAATGTAAGTTTTGTTACCAACAGAACTTAAAGGCTCTCTTTAACTTAATATATTTTGCGTCTTTATCTTAATACTAACAATAAACCAGAAAACCTTCACCCCTGGGAAGGCAAATTGATGATCGAGAAGAAAACATGTAAATATAACCCTTTTACATATTCCTGCTTGGGTGAATTGAACATGAGGTGAAAACATGTTTTATGATACAAGGGTGAAAATAACCTGAGGTGAAAATATAACAATATTAATTGAGAAGTAGGTGATATTTTACATCTGTATCACAGAAAAAAGATTATTTCAAGCTTGAAAAAATTCTAAAATTCCTACAAAGAAATGTACCTGGTAATGCAGCAATAACGCTACATAAAATACCACTTCTGTTAAGATAACAACAAAAATTAAGATAAACTGAAAAGACTTATATTATCTAGTAAAAGATCAAACACAAAAATTAACTGACAATTTATCGATACAGAATATAATACATCTTAAGTAAAAGTTGTTATTCCAATACCCCAACCTTCATAAAACAAAGCAATACACCTGTCCTGTACAGATACCTACCGCTGCGCTCTCCATAGACAGTGCAAGATTCTCGCCGAAGTCCTTGAGTTCACCAATCTTGGCTTCAAGCTGTTGTACCTGCGTGGCTAGTCCGAGGGGCGGAGCTATTGGCTGCTCACCTGTAATGCATTTCTGCTTATAGCTCTCTGTTAGGAGACAAGTTAGTACAAGTATTGATTAGTAACAAGTTAACTTGGTTAAACCATGCTTTACTTGGTTATATTTGGTTGTAAATGGTAAAATAGCTCTTTTTTTGGCTATATTTGGAAAGTTTTGGTACAAGTTACAAGACAGTGTCAGGAGTTGACAAGTTACAGATAAAACAGGTCACTGAAATCACAGGTAAACAAAGCTGACAGGGTACAGATATCACAGAGAACAAATGACATGGGGTACTGAAACATAGGGTACAGAAATGTAGGGTACAGAAACACAGGGTACAGAAACACAGGATACAGAAACACAGGACACAGAAACACAGGGTACAGAATCACAGGGTACAGAAACATAGGGTACAGAAACACACGACACAGAAACACAGGGTACAGAATCACAGGATACAGAAACAAAGGATACAGAAACATAGGGTACAGAAATACAGAAATGTAGGGTACAGAATTACAGGACACAGAAACACAGGGTACAGAAACATAGGGAACAGAAACACAGGACACAGAAACACAGGGTACAGAAACATGGGGTACAGAAACACAGGGTACAGAAACATGGGGTACAGAAACACAGGGTACAGAAACATGGGGTACAGAAACACGGGGTACAGACACATAGGGTACAGAAACACAGGACACAGAAACACAGGGTACAGAAACACAGGGTACAGAAACATAGGGTACAGAAATGTAGGGTACAGAAACACAGGACACAGAAACACAGGATACAGAAACACAGGGTACAGAACCACAGGGTACAGAAACATAGGGTACAGAAATGTAGGGTACAGAAACACAGGACACAGAAACATTGGGTACAGAAACATGGGGTACAGAAACACAGGTTACAGAAACATGGGGTACAGAAACATAGGGTACAGAAACATAGGTACAGAAACACAGGGTACAGAACCACAGGGTACAGAAACATAGGGTACAGAAACATAGGGTACAGAAATGTAGGGTACAGAAACACAGGACACAGAAACATTGGGTACAGAAACATGGGGTACAGAAACACAGGTTACAGAAACATGGGGTACAGAAACATAGGGTACAGAAACATAGGTACAGAAACACAGGGTACAGAAACACAGGGTACAGAAACATAGGGTACAGTAACAGGGCACAGAAACATGGGGTACAGAAACACAGGACACAGAAACACAGGATACAGAAACACAGGGTACAGAACCACAGGGTACAGAAACATAGGGTACAGAAATGTAGGGTACAGAAACACAGGACACAGAAACATTGGGTACAGAAACATGGGGTACAGAAACAGGTTACAGAAACAGAAACATAGGGTACAGAAACATAGGTACAGAAACACAGGACACAGAAACACAGGGTACAGAAACATAGGGTACAGTAACAGGGCACAGAAACATGGGGTACAGAAACACAGGACACAGAAACATAGGGTATAGACATATAGGGTACAGAAACACAGGGTACAGAAACATGGGGTACAGAAACATGGGGTACAGAAACACGGGGTACAGAAACACGGGGTACAGAAACATGGGGTACAGAAACACAGGACACAGAAACATAGGGTATAGACATATAGGGTACAGAAACACAGGGTACAGAAACATCGGGTACAGAAACACAGGGTACAGAAACATGGGGTACAGAAACACAGGGTACAGAAACACAGGGTACAGAAACACGGGGTACAGAAACATGGGGTACAGAAACATGGGGTACATTGGATACAGAATCACAATGCAGACAATTATCAAACTAGAACTTTAAGATATATTATGATTGAATACACAGGGAACTGAACACGACAATTTTAATAAATCAGACAAAATTGTTACATAGGGGACAGCAACCACAACTTTATTCAAGGAATGGCAAATCAAACATCATATCGTAACACAGGGGACAGATGATATATATTTCACATTATGACAGACAGACTACATATGACACTGGAAACAGACATCACATATATTATTTATTCAGCAATAAGCCCATGTCTGGTGATAAGCCCACCCAAACACAATCTACATCAAGACTATTGTGATAAACCCATCCCTTTGCTGCTTTGATTCAGACTTTGGGTATTGCCCCCACCTGGGCTTATTACCGAATAAATAGGGTAACACAGGGTACTCACACTGGGTTGTATTAGGACAGGGTACTGAAGTTAGAGCATTTGCAAAGAGAAGTATGGAGTTAAATCGTTACATTTTACAACATCAATATTATATAATGCATTATAATTATCTTTTACATATGATCAATGTTGATTGCATCAGTTTATTACAATATATATAAAACATTAATTAATGATAACCAATATCAGCCTTGGAAAGTTTTCCCTTTTCTCTGTGTAATTAATATCTCATGCGATCCAATGTCTAGAAGTTAACATTTTTATTCATACTTATATATCATAACATAAAAGTACATTGTAAGTATATACAAATCAAATCATTAATAAAAGAATCATTACTCAAGGAACTTGGGCAAGTCTACCAGTCTACAACCGTTTCTGAATAAACTTTTTGTACTAGAGGCGTAATTCTGGTAATCTTCCATCATTATGTGTCTGGATGTCTGCAGGAATATGCTGGTAAAGTCTCCACCCATCCCTCTTACACCAAATATAAAGCTTGGATCATAACGAGCTTGATGTTGGGATGAGAGTGAGGCAAATTCATCCCTCCATGTATGTAGATTTTAATTATTCCAATCAAGATGAAATTGTAATTACTCAAGGGAACAGACTAATGATGGTTTTTGTACTTCCAAATTCCTAGGAAAAACATGAAATGCTGCCTCAATTTCAGAACAAATTTTTTTTATTTTCTCAAACTGAATGTTTATTAATCCTTACAAAAAAAATATATATCGTGCACACAACAAAGTGTTTGGAAAGTATGTTCTGCATCAACAGAAATTTGTTTTCTTTTTTCTTTGTAGGTTTTTGTGTTAGACTGTAAAATCTTGGCATATTGAGGTGAAAAATACTTAATTCAGGCTTCTTAACAGCAATCCTTGGCAGATATCTTGAATATTTTGTTTTAAAATCTTCAAAGCTTCCATTCAAAAGGAGATAATAACTTATTTGTTCTGCTAAAGAATGAATTGGCAGACTAAGCCAGGTCCAGTGGAGAGTTGAAACAGGGGAGATTACCATCGTGGGTTATCTGGAGTACAGCTAAAATGCATTCCACACAATCTGTTGTTTGTTTGTCTATGTGATGCCTAATTGACTCCAAAGCCTTTTAACTGCATAAAAATATCCCAAAGCAGGTCAGCTAAGTACTTGTTTTATAGTAAGTATTGTATGTAAGCCATCAGGGATCAGATTGCATCACAGATATACCACAAATATTCACATTCTACAATAACGTCTGAGTCAGTACCATGAAATACCATGAATTCCATCTTAAAAAAGCACGGAATATATTGCTATTTAATAAATGCAATGAAAACATTTTCTATCATTTAATTTGGAATTGGAGAGATAGTAGGTCATATGTGAAAACAGTAAAAAACAAGAATAAATCATAATTCTTTTCATAGTTCCGTTTTAATTATGACCGTTTGATCTTCCAAAATAAAGAATGTTAGAGGTACTTTATAGGGAATCTGCAGTCTATAACAAGGAGAGAAACACCAGCATCTGGTTTATCCCATCACTTACCCCAGCCTTTATTTCCTATCCGTTTCTGTGCAGTGTTACTGATTGTGTTATGGATAGTATTGAGCCATGGGAGACCCTGATTAACTTATCAAATATACACATTCTTCATACTACTGTGTCAGTACTGTATCTCATTGTAAAGTCAGTTTCAATGGGGGTAAGATGGTGATATCCTTCACCAAAACACAACAGTTTATCTACCAACAAACAACTGGTCATCTATCCCACCATTCAAGGTTTTGCTGTATTGCTACTTTTCGCTTCCTCGTAAATTTTAAATAATTGATAAAACTTTCCAATATTTGTTTCAAAAGTTTCATATAATTAAATATATTTTGTTCAGATTCTCCTAGAGCGCAACTGAATATTATTTTCTCGGCATTGAAAAAAAAGTAATGAGTTACTGAAATTAAATAGATTAATTAATTAATTAAATGGAAAAAATGGATAATGTAAAACATGTGAGAACCTTACTTGGCGTCTTTGTAACACTGATGCACTGGGCTAGCGTTATTTCCAGGTGTCGGGTAATACGGACAAACAAGCTTATCAAATCTACTGCAGTTCTTTCAGACTTATAGAAAAAATTGGGTACTTAAAAAAAAAACACAAACAACCATACTTGTTTTACATCACCTGTTAGTCTTCAAACCAGCTGCAGTACTCAAAGCTGAGAATTTCAAAATTTCATAATGGAATGCAAGGTACAAGGTCTAACATGTAAACATGTTTTCATTCTTGTTTATTCTCCATTATCCTTGCTAACCATTCGTAACCTCTGTACCACACTAATTAATGATCACATCATTTCATCTTCTAATTCCAAAACATGCTTCAGTTCATTAATTGTATTTCAGAACGGAAACTAGAAAGATTATTTTTGAATTATCTTGATAACTTTATAGGCATACTGTAAAGTTTTCAATTCTTATGTATTAAGCTGTTGGGTGCATTTTCAACTCCTGATGTCAAGGACAATTTTGAAGACTTGGCTTCTGTCTATACTGAGTCTTGATAACTACTGCATAAACTAATGTGCATAAGTTTCCTACAATTGACAGAGAAACAATTGTGGTAATGTGTAATCCAAATAAAAATTTAACCACAAATCAGAAACATATATCGTACTTAGTCAGGGTGTATTGGAAGACAAAGCATTACACTTTGTTCTTTGCTTCCCTATACATAATTTGACCAATAGCAATGTAACCCATCCCTCCCACTCCACAGGAGAACTTGGCCATACTGACCTATGTCCTTGGAATGTTGGAGTTTGACTTGGTCGAGTTTCTCCGATAGCCCTTTGACATCATCCTGCAGACCTTCATACTCCAGTTCTTTCTCATGGAGGCGCTCCATCAACTGGCAGTTAGCCTTTTCCAGGCTGTTCAAATAAAAGTCAAAATACGAGTCATTTCTGGTAAAACATAGGTAGTCACAGGTAAATCTAATCACAGGTAAATCTAAAATCACAGGTAAATCTAAAATCACAGGTAAATCTTATCACAGGTAAATCTAAAATCATAGATAAATCTAATCACAGTTAAATCTAAAATCACAGGTAAATCTTATCACAGGTAAATCTAATCACAGGTAAATCTAAAATCACAGGTAAATCTAATCACAGGTAAATCTAAAATCACAGGTAAATCTAAAATCACAGGTAAATCTAATCACAGGTAAATCTAATCACAGGTAAATCTAAAATCACAGGTAAATTTTATCACAGGTATATCTAAAATCACAGGTAAATCTAATCACAGGTAAATCTAATCACAGGTAAGTCTAATATCACAGGTAAATCTAAAATCACAGGTAAATCTAATCACAGGTTAATCTAATCACAGGTTAATCTAATCACAGGTAAATCTAATCACAGATAAATCTAAAATCACAGGTAAATCTAATCACAGGTAAATCTAAAATCACAGGTTAATCTAATCACAGGTAAATCTAACATCACAGGTTAATCTAATCACAGGTAAATCTAAAATCACAGGTAAATCTAATCACAGGTAAATCTAAAATCACAGGTAAATCTAATCACAGGTAAATCATTTTGTATCTGTATCATTTTGACCCTAAAAACTCTCAAGCCATTGGCAATATATACACTGTTTGGATCAGCAACAGGTATAACATGTTCTCCAGGATTAAGTTTGGTTCAATCTCAAAAAGCTCTTCTAGAGAAGAAGTGTAAATGAAGTGTTTTAATTCAGCACAAAAGCTGAAATATATAGATTAACAACAGTTTTGAACACACATTCAACATTTTGTTATTCATACACATAAAGTTGATCAGAAAACTGTTGGGCAGTTTTAGAGATGTTTTAAAACATCATAAAAGACAAGTCAGATGAAAATCTAAAGGTAATGGGCCAATAGGCTATATATATATATCATAACAAAAATTGACCCATTTTACCAGTAGATTTCTATATCTATCCGGCAATAACATCATTCCCAGTAATAAGCCCACCGATGTTAATTGCAGTTTCTGTAAACATCCAAACGTTATATCATTACCCTACAAATAGTCCAGCACCTACTTCACATATCAGGATAGATACACAAAATTAGTAACCTCAGGTCTTTCCTACCTCACCGGGTCAAAACTTTAGTTTTTCACCATTCAAAATCAATATCAACAATACATTTTGTTTGAAAAAGCTGTTTGTTCCTTTTCAAGATAATAAAATTTTCGGAGTGATAAAAAATCCTGAAAGATTTACACACATTTTCAAGTGATTCACACAAATTACTTGGCACTTATCTGACATACAAATCTTCTACTCTCAAGATGGTTTTTGGAATTGCAGAATTAAGAATTCTTCAAAGCTCCTTGAGAAAACCAACAATTTGGCATAATTTCAGGTTTCCAATAATATGATGTACAGAAAGTTTCCAGCACATTTAGGTATATATCCCACAGCTGTTGAAGGTTTTGTCAGTGTTTGTACTTCATTTCATCAGTCACTTAACATTAAATTCTAGGCCTCTTTTTTTAAACGTGATGAGTCGTTAACTTAAAACTGTATACCATATCTTGAAAATTTTCATTTTATAAAACTTTTATCAATTTTTAAAAATTGAAATACTGAATATGTTTTGAATAGATTTTGCATATGACACAAAAAATGAAAGAATGAAAATAAAATCTGACCAATCAAAATCCACAGCGTTCATCTTTGATTAAGTAAGAAAAGAACCCTGACGATATGGGTGTTGATAAAATAGGATATAGAACTGCATTGAAATCTAACAACAGTTTATGTTAATATGAAGTACAAATGTGTAATTTGTTGGGATGATTTATCTGCAGCAATCTAAAATAAATGACACTCAAATATCATGGTCAGTCTTGATCTCACTCAGTTCTTGCAGCCATTTTTGTTAAAGATGTCATGAAAATAGGCAGAACTGCATGGGTAGGTATTTACATAACACAATGAGTCTGCATCTGGTGTATACAGATATGACCTATATCTGGTACATACAGATATGACCTATATCTGGTGTATATAGACACTGCCTATATCTGGTGTATATAGACACTGCCTATATCTGGTGTATACAGATATGACTATATCTGGTGTGCATAGACATTGCTTATATCTGGTGTATATAGATATGGCCTATATCTGGTGTATATAGACATGGCCTATATCTGGTGTATATAGACACTGCCTATATCTGGTGTATATAGACATTGCTTATATCTGGTGTATAGAGACATTGCTTATATCTGGTGTATATAAATATGGCTTATATCTGGTGTATATAAACACTGCCTATATCTGGTGTATATAGACACCGCCTATATCTGGTATATATAGATATGACCTATATCTGGTGTATATAGATATGACTGGTATCTGCTGTATATATATATGGTCTATATCTGGTGTGTGAAGACATGACCTATATCTGGTGTAAATGTAAATACAGCTTAAATCTGGTATATATATAGATATGACCTATATCTGGTGTATATAGATATGGCCTATATCTGGTGTATATAGACATGGCCTATATCTGGTGTATATAGACACTGCCTATATCTGGTGTATATAGACACTGCCTATATCTGGTGTATATAGACACTGCCTATATCTGGTGTATATAGACATTGCTTATATCTGGTGTATAGAGACATTGCTTATATCTGGTGTATATAAATATGGCTTATATCTGGTGTATATAAACACTATATCTGGTGTATATAGACATTGCTTATATCTGGTGTATATAGATATGATCAATATCTGGTGTATATAGATATGACCTATATATAGATATGATCTATATCTGGTGTGTGAAGACATATATATCTGGTGTATGTATACAGCTTAAATCTGGTATATATATAGATATGACCTATATCTGGTGTATATAGATATGACCTATATCTGGTGTATATAGATATGGCCTACATCTGGTGTATATAGACATTACCTACATCTGGTGTATATAGACATTACCTATATCTGGTGTATATAGATATGGCCTATATCTGACATATATTGATATGGCCTGTATCTGCTATATATAAATGGTCTATATCTGGTTTGTATAGACATGACCTATACTTGGCCGATATAGATATGACTTGTCTTATTTTTGAATCTGTTGTTGATAACAAACAGACCTGCACAGTGCCATTCTTATACAAAGGCTGTAAATGTATTGGTAAATCATCTCAATATAAATGACTGCCCTCGAACAATTTCTCAACAGATCTCCTCTTATTGATGAAAAATAAGCCAATGAGAATATGAAAAATATCAAACATTTTATCTAAATGAATTTATCAAATCCATTGCATAAAAATTTCTTTTTTTTTCAGAAATTTCTAAAACAATGTCGACCACAATGTAAAATACTGTATTTGAAGGATTTTTATCTTAACATAATAACTGTAAAATTTGCTGATGAAATAAAAGTTTTGTAACAATTAACCATAGCAATGACAAACACTGACAAAAAGGTTTTAATAATGAATTTTAGAATGTTTTGTTTAAAATGTACCCAGGAATTTTTGGAGACTTCCTTTATGAATCAGTGTTTCAGCATCGAGTTCTGAGCTGGTATACATTAACACGTAGAATTCAAAGCCAAATGACTGATGTTTGTCTCCATGAAAAAAAGTAAAACATAATCAATGCAAAGGAACACAAGAGGTTCTGATTCAGTAAACTATAAAACCTACAATAAACCCATGTCTGCTAATAAGCCCACCCATCCTTTTTACCAATCAGTAGAATAAAACACAAGTGTTACCTTTTCTTTGTTGTGAAATAAGCCTACCTCCTGACTTTGGGTCAGAATTGGAATACTGGCCCCTTGCGTACTGAAGGATACATATAGTAAACCTACCATATCTCTTTGACAAAGCCAATGATTTTACAAGGTTGCATCTGTTATCATTTTAGAAAGATGTGGTTTAAAATGACATCTATATGAAAAAAAAAAGAAATCAAGCACTACCTTTGAAATCTAAAATAACAAGAACAGTACTACGGACATTCTTTTATTCCTAAATTCCTTTGGTATAAAAATCAACAAAGGGCAATAACTCTGCATATATTGGAACATAAATATCATAACATTGCACTAATTTACTGCAGAGTGATAAGCAGTAAATAAATTACAATATAGGTTTACAGAATTCAACAATTTTTGGTAAAGACACCGAATTATGATTAAGTCCTGCAGGACAAAATGATGCACTTACTTTGTTTTTCAATGCAGAACTGTAAACCTATTTTCTTCTACAGGTTCCCAAACACTTAGGTCTATGGTTTATATAGACCCAGTATAGTTCAACTGAATATTGTCTTTATTTCCAGACAAATACATCTTTATCTGAATATTTTCTTTATTTCCAGACAGAAACATCCTTATCTGAACAGTTTCTGTTATCTGGCATGAACAGTTATGGGATGGAAATATTTTCAACTGATCCTAACACACTCTACAGCCATAATGGCCGACAGGAATTTCAACAATACAGAATGGTTTCAAATTAACTAGTGTTTTGTCAAATCATTGACAAAGATTTAACAGTAATCATTCCAAAAATCAATAGAATTATGACGACAGGGGATTAAATTTTTTTTCTAAAACAGATTAACAGTCAATAAAAGAACTAAATCTCTATTAACTTTCAAACATAAACACAATAAAATATTTTGTCAGAAATGATCAGTTTTGACATTTATATCCCGAGAGGAACACACCGGTGACTCATTGCAAAATAAAGTGATGGGGCAATTTTAAAATGGGTAATCTGAATTTGGTTTTACTGACTGCTGAACAAATTTACACAGTAAGTCGGATAAACTATTTATCTTAATTAAGGTAAAATATTGACGAATTAGAGAACTGTACAACATTCTCAGAAGATCTTGAGCATAAGATATTAAAGAGAATTATTCACTATTGTACAACATTTCATAAACTGTGTATATTTGTAAGTCAGGTGTGGCCAAAACATGCTGACACAAGAAGTAAGCTTATAACAGAACAATCAAACCAAATCATTTAGAAATATATACACTACTGCTTGTGGCAGACATTAATGAATTTTTTATCATAAAAAATTCAGTGTGTTTTACAATTACTAAAAGATTTTAATGGGTTTTAGCATTAATAGACAAATTTGAATGGGTTTTAGTATCAATATGATAAGTTGTAGACATAACTGATAGATTTTAATAGGTTTTTGTCTTCATATAAATATTTTAATGGATTACAGTATCAGATTTTAAAAGACATTAAAATCATTGTACAAGTACTTTTTTTTTGATTCCATGATTTGACAGTGGGAAACTGACATCATGATATTCTATGTACTGCCTTTCTAAACCCCTAACACTCAGGTCTTTTATTATCAAAATCCGTAAGAAATATTCCAGATCTTTGTGCTAATTATAAACTTCTGCTTTGTGTAATCTCAGTTACATCTAGACATAATTATTCTGAAGTTTTTTAGAATTAAGGAGTTGCTACATGAAGCACTGCAGCCATTTTAACATTATTCACATCTAACACAACAACATTCCTATATCTCACTCTGCCTGAACATGGTCCTTTTCAGATATAATGCGTTTAGGCATATTTATATGTTTTGCTATATACATCACCTAACTAAACAACATCACAAACAAACATTGTAATATAAACATTTGATTTAAAGCAATCTCCTGTTATCTCGTCCATTTTATTCTTTATCAATTGTGAATTCAGAAAAAAACAATGATAACAGTTCTACGGGGCGTGCACTGATGTGGTTAAGGAGCTAGCATTTCTTCTACCAAATTAAAGGAAACAGACAGTTACTTAAATTATACCCATTTATAAAATCAAACAGAGAAATATCCAAACTGATTGCACAATTAATCTATATCTAGAGCCCAACTTCAATATATACCAGACTACTCTGCAGATTTCCCAAATGATGTATCTGAATTCAGGGTTAACTCTGAATAATATTAGAAACACTAAAAACTTTCTAAACAAAACAGCTACAAGACTGATATTTCTAGCTACATAGTGAAATCTGTCCACAAACCAGACACATCAAGGACTGATATTTCTACCTACACAGTAAAACCTGCATAAACCAGACACATCAAGGACTGATATTTCTACCTACACAGTAAAACCTGCATAAACCAGACACATCAAGGACTGATATTTCTACCTACACAGTAAAACCTGCATAAACCAGACACATCAAGGACTGATATTTCTACCTACATAGTAAAACCTGTATAAACCAGACACATCAAGGAGTGATATTTCTACCTACATAGTAAAACCTGTATAAACCAGACACATCAAGGACTGATATTTCTACCTATACAGTAAAACCTGCCTAAACCAGACACATCAGGGACTGATATTTCTACCTACACAGTAAAACCTGCCTAAACCAGACACATCAGGGACTGATATTTCTACCTACACAGTAAAACCTGCCTAAACCAGACACATCAGGGACTGATATTTCTACCTACACAGTAAAACCTGCCTAAACCAGACACATCAAGGACTGATTTTTCTACCTACATAGTAAAACCTGCCTAAACCAGACACCTCCAGGACTGATATTTCTACCTCCACAGTAAAACCTGTCTTAACCAGACACATCAGGGACTGATATTTCTACCTACACAGTAAAACCTGTATAAACCAGACACATCAAGGACTGATATTTCTACCTACATAGTAAAACCTGTATAAACCAGACATCTCCAGGACTGATATTTCTACATACTCAGTAAAACCTTCCTAAACCAGACACATCAAGGACTGATAGTTCTACCTACATAGTAAAACCTGTCTAAACCAGACACCTCCAGGACTGATATTTCTACCAACACAGTAAAACCTGTCTAAACCAGACACATCAAGGACTGATATTTCTACCTATACAGTAAACCATGTCTGAAGCAATCACCAACAGAAGTGTTTCTACCTCAACAAAATAAAACCTGTCGAAACCTGTCTGGACCAGACACCTCCATGGCTAGTTCTGATCGTCAAATCAAGCTTGTCTTTAATATAGCAATTCAATTTACATTGAAATGAAAAAAATGTGTGCCCGAGATAAAAATTATTTAAAAAGATTTCTCAATGTTACATAGATTAGTTTTGACATATGATAACAATTTAGCATAAAATGGTATCATGACAGGGATATTTTCAGGGCTAAATATATCTATGAAATACTACATAAAATAACACAGCATGGGTGCTGACAAGATCAATTACAGTAAAACTGCCTCCCCAACACCCCCACAAGTCCTGGACTTGTGTGTAGGGCTAATCAGAGACTAAATATATAAAACACAAATATTGCAGGTGGAGGAGGGGGATAACCATTTCCAGAGGTACAGCATGTTGTAGACCTTATCATAAACCAGGATTTTTTACCGATAAATATCAGATAAATATCAAAAGATTCTTTTTTCGGTTGGGTAAAACAAAAATGGAAGCTTTTCAAAAAAGTCAAGATACTGGTGAAAGAAAATCTTGTCTTAGATACCTGCTAGGTACCACAGGACTACAACATTCCAATGTTGACCTATTTTATTTTCTTGGTTATGGTATACCAGGATAAGCTGATACAAACAAACATGAAAATACTCTCAAAACAAAACGACTATTGATAAAAAGCAAGTGATATCTCGTAATTCAGCCCTCTCCTGTAAAACCACTCTAAAAATGCGAAACACAAACCTACATCAAACAGCTTGTCTATCATTTAGATAGTGTGTTTTTCAGAAATGCAAAAATGAAAAATTTGTATTTATTCAATTGTTTGTTTATTTGTTTGTTCACTTGTCAAGTATGCCATGTTATTTTATTTATTCTTTCTGTTTCATTTTTGTTGATTATCTTATTTGTTTATTTGTTTGTTTTTAGAAAATGGTAGAATTGATATAAAAATTGACAGCCTTGTTGCTTTACGACCTCCAGATATTTCAAGCCATCATATTTGTTGTATCTAAACTATCATTGTTGTTGAAAATGATAAAGGTAATTGATCAAAATTTCTTTCATAAAATTACTAATTACCGATATATCTCATTAAGTAAGTAAAAAGATGTTATCAAGAAAAAAAACCCAATTATTTATTGATCTAATTAAGACATTAGTGACGATCACTATTGAATTTGTTTTGTTTGTTTACTTGTACAACTCTCAGAACAAATTACTAACCTGGTAAGGTTGGACTCTGTCATACTTTCCACTGTTAGTGAAGTGTCGTCCCCAAAGCTGGCCTCAGAGGACTTGTCTCCGGGGGAAGCCTCCTCTGGGGAGTCAAAACAGGGTTGAAGGGTAAGGGGAGGAGGCTTCTGTCCTTTAGCTAGTCTTGGTTCCTCTCCCTCACTCTCTCCTTTATTTTTGTCTCCTGGGTGCTCACAGCTACGCTGTTGTTCTACAGTAGCAGTGGAAACTCCTTCTCTTCTCTGTTCCCACTCATACAGCTTGCGGGCAAACTCCGTTGTAACTTTGTGCTCTCCTAGGGGGCTATAAATAGGAGAGTTCAGTTTGGCTTCCAAGTCTGGTTGGCTAAGACGTCCTTTCATCTTCTCAATCCGTGCTTCACGTTCAAGGGCTTTGAGGCGTTCCTTCTCTATCCGAATCCGATCCCTCTCCAATTTTTGTTGTTCACGTTCTACACGCTGCAGTTCACGTTCACGTCGACGTTCCAACTTACTGCGGTCCTTGTCAGCCTTGACCTTTCTGCTGCCTAATCTATCTTCCTTATGAACTTGACCTGTGACCTTTGTAGCATCCTTGGTATCTAGAGGTGGACTGGCACTGTCCTTACGATACTTAATTCTTTCCCATTCCTCTAATTTTTTACTGAAGCTCTCTGTGAGTTTCTGTTGTAACTCCTCCACATTTATCACCGTTGGCTCAGCACTTATACTGGCGCCCTCTGGTGACACTTCTCTTGAATCACGTTGAACGCGTTCCTCTCTTCCTTTCTCTCCTACAAGTAACAAACCAGGAATTATCAATCTAATTCTCATAAATCAAAATCTTATTGAAAATTTTTTTTTGATGATAGTAATTTTATCCCAACTTAAACCTTCCAACTTTTAAATGTACATAACATTGTAATCAATGCAAATAGGAAAGTTTTTCTTGTCTATTTATATTCTAATGCAATAAGGTATTTGTGTCAGTAATACTATGCATGGATGCACACTACAGAAAACCAAATCTGCATTTCATATAAAATTTAAAAACCCAGATGTCAATGTTTATGTGCCATTTAAAACATCATGAATTTTAAAATAACAACTTCATGGCTTTGATTATAATCCAATTGATCAAAATAGTATATGTAGACTTATTGAGCTATCTCTTTCCTTGAAATCAATGGTCCATAAGATATTTTGGAAAAAAAAAAACATACAAAAATTATAATTTTACCTTATATGTGATTAAGTCATGTAGATTTAACTGATAAATTCAATAAGATTCTTTTCCAAACAAGTATATGAAGGCCAAAAACAACAATAAAAATAAAAAAATACTGGAAAAAAGTTAAGAGTAAAGATTTTCAATTCTTGTAAATTTTTAGAAGATGAAGTGTTAATAATTTATCTACAGATCAATGACAGACGGACGGATGGATGGACAGAATGGACGGATAGAGACATCTAGATCCTAACCCTCTCATCATTTATCATAGAGTTGGGGGTGGCACAATATAGTGTATGAATACCTTTGGTTTCCAGTTTTCTGTTGTGAAGATGACTTTTTATATACATGATATGGTATGCAGGTTGATTTCATTGGTAGCAAGGGTTGTGTAATCATGTGCAAAGGAATACAACATAGAGCACACCTATAGATATACCTCGAGTGATGTGATGAAGGGCATACTCCATTATCAAAACAAACCTGACATGTATCACAATTATAGGTGGTGGAGTTACAGTCTGTAAATTGTCTGTACTTAAGTGGAAGGGTAAAGTTTTTTTGATGTGTTAACAACAAAAATATTTGTTTTCTAGCAACTTAATTTACATTGTTGTACATTATCATTTGATATACCAGCAGGTCTCTTCTTTTCCTTCTCTCCTGCCTCTACAATCTCAGAATTTCTTTTCACTCATGTTTTTCCTTCCACAACCTCCTTGTTTTTCTTTTCTCTCATTCCTTCTCTCATTTCCCTTCTGCGATACCTATTTTTTTTTCTGTTTCTCCTTTCTTTTTCTCTCCTCTTTCTTGTTATCTACTCTTACTCTCCTCCATCAGGCCCTTTATCCCTTTCATTTCATCCTAAAATCTTCTATCATATAATATCCTTTATTCCTAATTTCTCTTCGTAAATCTTTTTTTTCCTTTAATATTTTTTAAAATTTGTTTTCCCTTTAAAGTTTGTGCATCCCTAATTTAATCCCTCCCTTCTTCTTATATTCTCCACTCTACATCTTCCACTCCATTTTCTACTCCGATGTATAACTTTACACAACAACACAGACATTAAAGATTCCGAGCTAAGCCTTCCACTTATAACACACTGACAATAAAAGAAGGATCAAAACCCGGCACCTATATTATATCTTGTACCGGCAATTTCAGACGCAGTTTGTCTAGTAAGCACAGATGGGTTGTAACTGACTTTTTCAGAAAGATTGGCTTTCTTTATATTCACTTATGAAAGTCGGTTGCCAAAGAGGAGAGTTTAACATTTCCTGATAGTAAATCATGAGGTACAATTACGTTTCAACAGAAAGAAATAAATTCTCTTGTTTTTATCCTTCAAAAATCCCAGGCACCCAATATATAACATTTAAATCAAAGATAGGGTTGGGCTTTTAGAGAAAACAAAATAGTGTTAATGACTCCAGCAATAAATATATACACAGGCTTATTACCAGGCATGTGCATATTACTGGATAAATATTTGAAAATGTCCAAACTCTATATAAGATGGAAATAAAGCATTGAATCTATAACAATCCTTTGATGCTGTGAGGGAGTTTCCACCGAACCAACTCCTGTCAGTGTCCTAAATCCTCTATGTTGTTTGATAGTGTACAATGAGAGAAGGGAGATATTTTTTAATCATTCTGTAATGTGAAATTTATATTGTTGCTCATAGTCCTGATGTCTCAATAAAAATTTTCATATTTTAACAAACCAACAATTTGAAATTGAATGAACTATTTCTCAGATCAAATCTTGATAAATTTTTTTCCTCAAAGCTAAACAATCAACTAGGAGCTAAAATATCCGTTGTACTAATCTATATATATAAAAAAAAAGAGCAAATATCAAGCAAATTTCAATGGACGTTTAAAAATTGTCAGACCGCCATTTAAAATATGGATGCAAGTGAGTGCTTGTACATTCATCAAAATAACAAGGATGGAATAACTTTGAGGGTGTTTATCCTACTGTGTTGACGTCCCTATAGATCATCCTCCTCTCCCCCAAGTGCCCCCCTCTGTTTACTTACCCTCCCATCATACCTTCATCCTCATAACACATTGTTCTAATTAACAACTAAAGCAGATGAAAATTCCAGTTATTTCTTTTTCTTGTATGAAAGTGATAATAGAATTAGCCATTTGTGTATTTTCTATCTAAATATAGCTCTTGGAATCTCAGATAAGAAAGTAGAATTATGAATGACTTTTTAAAAAAATAGAAGTACATTTATCTTATTTTTTTTTCAAAATGAAACTATTTTTATTTGAAACTGTAGATAACTTAAAATTTGTGGAGAAAAATTTTCTTATTTATTGTAGGCACAATATTTGTGCAGAGTTAATTATAATGGTTATGAACAATTCTCACAAATTAAGAAATATATTACTTTTTCTATGCAGTTCTTTATCTTATGTTGTGGTTCCTTGACTTAACACTAGTTGGAGCGTTGGCGTATATATATCCCCTGGTAAAAATGCTAGGTGTTTGGTTCAACGCTTCCTATCCCTGGCAGTATGTGTTAAACAGGAAGTTGAGAAACAGACCAGCCTGTGGTGACTTGGTTAATTGGGTCTCTTTGGTCAAGACAATTTATCATAATTGCTTTGGATGGCATGTGATGGGCCTTCCATATGTTGTTCAGTACCCAACAGCTACTACAGGTAATCTTCACCTCAAAATGACCCTGAATGTTTACTGTGTGATACACCAACATAACATACAAACACTGAATTATCGACCCTTTACAAAAATGTGATAATTACGAATGAAACCATAAAATCCAACGTCTTGTGGACCTCAAGTTCATAATTATCATCATTATCCTTTTAATATTCGTTTCATCAGTGTTAGATTTTGAGAATATTACCTTAAATTTTGAGTAAGTTCTTTGATAAATTATTTACTTGTAAATAAATGAATATGTGGGATATCATCTTGTTACAGACATAAGCCCATGTCTGGTAATAAGCCCACTTGCACAAATATTGGATTTTCAAAAGAAAAAGTGCTAACTATTGTATAGTAGTAAACCTACTCACTGCAGAATAAATCTGATAAGAGTAACCATAACATAAAAGGAAAATAAAACTCCCTCCAAAATTAAGAATTCTACAGTATCTTGACAGTATTTGTAAGATATACCTTTTACTGAAGACTGCTGGCTCTTCTTCTCCTCCCATTGTTCAATCTTTTTGGTGAATTCATCAGAGACACCACCTATAAAGGAGTAAAGGAATTTCTCGTCACAAAATACAAATACTGTCACCGAAAAACATCTCAGAAAGTTCATTGCATGTTACTTTGGATTACTGTAAAGGATGGACTTTTGATGATTAAAATTCTCGTGGTTTACTGAAATCAAATGACCACATCAAGGAACCTGATGGGGACCTAGATATAAAATATGAGAAAGATCCATCCAGTATTTCCCAAGAAATAAACAATAACAATCTTTCATTGTCGAAATCGTAGATAGCTGACAGTCATCCATTTTGTTTTTGCTGATCAGTTCCAAAATAAAAAGGGCACAATGAGGGACTACAGGGAGCCAACATATAAAATTGAGAAATGTTCATGTTGTACTTCTCGAGAAACAGCAATAACAATATTTCATTCTCAAAATCCAAGATGGCTGCCTGTCATCTCATTTGTTTTTTTCTGAACAGTCCCAAAATCAAAAGGGCACAACTGCAGACCAAGGGAAACCCCCAAATGAATTTGAGAAAGATCCATCCAGTACTACTCAATAAATAGTAATAATTAACTTTCATTGTCCAAAATTAAGATGGCCACCTGCAAGTCATTTTGGGTTTTAATCAGCCCCAAAATCAAAGTGGAAAAATAAGCACTAAACGGAACTTTCAAAGCAAATTTGAACGAGATCCATCAAGCACTTCTAAAGAAGTTGCAAAAACAAGAACGGTTAAAGGACGGACAAAGGACGGACAGATAGACCACAGACCATGGACACAGGGTGGTTTGAACAGTCCATTTTCTGATGATGGGCTATAATGGTAGCATCAAATTAAAATCAAAGAAAAAGGCAAATGCTTCGTAGTTTTTATTGGTTGTCAATAGCAACATTTTTGTCATTCAAATGCATCTAGTATCTTTTGATTTACATTCGTGTCTATTTCTATATTGTGTTGTTGGAACAAACATTATCATCTCGCGCCAGTTTTCTGCCACCAAATCATTCATCATATACCGAGTATTTTAAGAACAGGGTCTTAATAAAACATATTTCTACATTCGATTGCAATGTTTCTTGATTAATGTACCTTTCGCATATTGTCAGTGCTGAAACTTTGAACAAATTGTACCATATCACATATTGAGAAATTATCGTCCAGCTACATGGATTTTTCCCTCGAAAAAGCAAAACTGGCCTGATAAATCTTCTGTTTATGTTGATGAAATGACAACATGTACAACGAGGTTCTGCTCAACTTGATGCAGGCTTAAAGCAATTGTCTAGAATAGGAACACTCAATCATCATATCAATACACACATGGTACTTAATGGTCTTTGTTGAATAGAATTGTAACAGAAAATAATTCCAATAAACACAAGATCCGAGGGATGGAAAGCTTTCCTGATCACGATAATCTGATCCCTGTCCTCGGCTATCTAGGGATTGGTCGCTTGATGTAGCAATAATCAGCAAGTGATGGACAATCTGTCAAACAGAATAGACAGCTAATGTGGTTTAGGGCTGGTAGAAAATCTGTGGGACATGCTTGGCTGTTCCATGGTATTAGTGTCCAACACAACAGAAAGCTAAAGAGTTGTTCTGATTTGGTGCTTACAAGATCTGACTAGCTGATATCTATTTGGTTAAGTATGGTCAGTTTATAACTGAATTAATTATAAAAATGAATTATTCATATTAAGAAATTAAAACCCATATACAAACATAAAAAAACTGAACATGTTGTACTATATAGAAAGATTTAATAAGGAAAAAATGTCTCTCATGCAAAATTGACTGTGCTAATGACAAGAGGTCTCTAAAGTGGGTATATGGTCTTTTTGTCAGGTTGAAATGTAATAAGAAACTGGCGGTCTTCAAAGGCAGGTTAAACTGCAGCTATAGATGGGTGGTGTCTAAATTAGATCGAGAGGTGGAAATTGAGAGGTGGTCTCCTTGACAGGTTTGGCTGTAGTTGTAGAAAGTGGTCTCTTTGCAGATTTGGCTGCAGTTATAGAAAGGAGGTCTCTTAGACATGTTTGCTTGTTGTTGTAGTCTGTTAGTTTTGACAGGTTTAGCTGTAGTATAGACAGGTGGTCTCTTTGACAGGTTAGACTGTAGTATAGAGAGGTGGTCTCTTTGACAGGTTAGACTGTAACATAGAGAGTGGGTCTCTTTGACAGGTTAGACAGTAGTATAGAGAGGTGATGTCTTACACAGACTTGATTGTAGTATAGAGAGGTGGTCTCTTTGACAGGTTAGACTGTAACATAGAGAGTGGGTCTCTTTGACAGGTTAGACAGTAGTATAGAGAGGTGATGTCTTACACAGACTTGATTGTAGTATAGAGAGGTGGTATCTTTGACAGGTTAGACTGTAGTATAGAGAGGTGGTCTCTCTGACAGGTTTAGCTGTAGTAGTAGAGAGGTGATGTCTTACGCAGACTTGATTGTAGTAGATGTGGTCTTTTAGAGGTGGTCTCTTTGACAGGTTTGACTGTAGTATTATAGAGATCGAGAGGTGGTCTCTTTGACAGGTTTGGCTGAAGTTGTAGAGAGGTGATCTGTTTGATATGTTTAATTGTAAAACACGGATAAGTCAAAGCAGACGAGAACAAATGAAATATTTGACTTATCCGATGGTTCAACAGCTGTGTTTCTATGAACGGAGACATTTTACAAAAAAGATTAACCCTATTTCTATCAGTTGTTTACCGGAAGCGTGTCTCGTAGCATGGCGTGACAGGAATGAATAAGTTAATAATTTTATACACTAACGATATATTCTATTTAGATAAACAGTTATAAGTACCAATATAAAACAAAAAATGTAAAGTGAAATGTTCGTCATTGTAGTTCACATGATGATACACATCCATGCTCATACACATAACTTAGTGAAATTGATACAAATACAATCATAGTACATTTATAATTAACTGACTCCTGTGTATTGTATTTCATGTTTAATTGCCTAATTCTGTATCAATTCTAACTTTCATCTGTGTAAATGCAGAGATTAATGTTCAATTAAAAATTACAATATGGCTCGTTAACACTGATATGACTGACCAATCACACTCAATCATTTGGACTAAAGCCAGGAAATTTTTACATGAGACAAGGTGACACCTGAATGTTCGACACACAAAATACATCTGACACAAACCCAGTATTCGACTCAACAGCGTTCCAATCACCCATGTTTATTTTACTTTGATAAAGAAGAGAAAAAATCAGGACCAAACGAAACATTCGACTCATCAGATGTATTTGATTCAGACGTGTTCAACACAAGTGAGTTTTACTGAATGTACATTGTATTATTAATTACAGGTAGAATCTATCGCAGGCTTCAGAATAACGATGATGTTTAAACATGATGTTGGATCACTGTGCTAATTTTATATTGATGATGATGTTCAGTTGTCCTTAAAAAACCGAAAATTCTTTGCAACAAAGATGCAAATTTTAATGAACAATATTTGCAGACACCTAAGGTAATACATATCATTGAACTTTAATGGATGGTAATATGGTTTTAAGTCATACTTTAAAATCATCAATTTTCAGGGTGTCTTATTTTCATTGATTTTGGCGGTAATCTTGATCCATAAATTTATACGCCCACAAACTGTTGAGATAAGTATAAATTGATTTATACAGTTATGTTTATCCACCAAATTAAATGCTCACTAAATAATATTTTGTTGGAGAAAAAAAACCATGAAAATTGAGCTCACTAACATACATGATTTTACAGTAACTTCTGAGAGGTCATCGCTGGTTAGAATTTTTAGGTAGATATAATAAGTATATTCTAACACTTCATAGGTTCGACAGCAAGTGCACAAAATTTTTAACAAATGGCTTCCAAGCTCTACAGCAGTCCTGATTGGTTGAATCTCTAACGAACTTTTACATAATCAAGTTTAACTTTGTAATATACATCATATTTTCCTGTGTTACTAATTAAAAATTTTCTTTGATCAAAACTGGTCAGATGACAGTTGTTCAGAGCATAACACATAAAAGTTAAGTCAGAATGTCTACTCTGCTAAAATCAAACAGAACCTTTTTTCCATTTTTCATTTTTTTTTATCTAGAAAGATAACATAACAGATTGATATTTCATGAAAAAAGCCCTGTGATCACAATATAACACCAGAAACACCAAACAGTCATTAGATAAATGTAAGCCCCATCTCTGCTGTAACAAACTCACTTCTCCAATCAGCACTATAAATCACAACAATACATGTTTTGCCCATTGTTTTTCTACATCTGAAGGCCAGAACCACTTTCTGTATCCAAAAATACACTTAGATAATCTTTGAAGCCACTAAATGTATCAACATCAGTAATATTATCTTTTGCCCTGAAGAGAGTTGTCAACGCTACTGAGTGCATTTCAAATTAATCTCCCCGGGACTGCAACATGTATATAATGTATATAAAATTCTATTGTTCTGGCTATAATTTGATCTACGATACAGGAACTGATGTGTTGGACCTCATAAGAAGAGTGCCCATGGTAACCGTTTTTATTTTATAGATTTGTCAATGTGATGAATCACACAACTATTTCTTTCATTTCAGAGGAAATTTTACCGATTCAGCAAGACGAAAATATATTTAGGTCAATTAGTTTATCAATGGATTAAGGAACCAGGTCTCGCTCTGGGTGAATTAATAACTATTAAAAAGTAAAAAATCACCTGCACCCCTCCTTTCTTATTTCTTAATATATATCTATAAATGGTACAGGATACTTATTTCATCAATGTGAATGACTCAACATACAGTTCAGACCTTTATCAGAACAACCGTGCTAAAAAAAATCTCCTTTATCACATAAAAAACTCTCTATCAGGTTTAAACCTTTATAGCCAAATCTTTCTAAGGGACATACTGGGCACATCTTTATGGAAATAATGCATTCTGGGAGAATCACAGATATATCCTTTATAAATCAAAAGTTGTTACCTCATTTCTATGTAAAAAACATTATACTGACCTTCAAGTAAAATACGGTTACCTCACTTTCCAAAAGCAAAATATATATTTTACTGAATGTTTTACCTGTACATGTGAGAGTACACTTCTTCTGGAATGCAGAGCATAACCACGACATGTTTCCGTAGATATGGTAATCAGTGTCACAATCAATATCAGTAAGATGATTGTTTATTCCACATCACGGCTCTGACTATCATTTACTGTTTTCCGAGCAAACACTCTCCAGAAAATCTTCTTCCAAATCAACTATGTCCGTTTTAAATCCGTAAGATTTTTATAAAACATTTTTGTATGCTGTTTACATATTTGTAATCAACTATGATGGAATGACATTTGTAATCACTCATGAAAAATATTTTTTTCCACAATGTTCTTGATCCACATAATCCAGCTTGATTGTGCAAAATTGTTTCTTCCCAGTGGGACAAGATATATCTAAGTTTTTTCTGTTATAATACTCAATATATTTTTTACAAAACACAAATCCTTTCACTTTTTTTATCAAACAGACTCCAAAGTAAGAAATTTCTTTTCGACAGTAAAAAATCCAACATGTAACAAATGTAAAATCAGCAGAATTGATCCAAAGGGGCCTAAACAATTGGTAAGTTCTCCGTGCTGAACATAACTATGTTTTCCTTAAAAGGAGTTGTACATCATCTCGGTGACTATCTTGACCCTAAATCATACACATGGTGTGTTACAATGCAGTTTTTCCCCTTCAGTTGCAATCCTAGACAGCGGTGAGGTTTCACAGCCCTCTCATTACATCGTTACCAGGCAATTCTTCTGGTAGTCAATGGAGGGTAGAGAGAGATGCTCCATAGTACAATGAGAGAAATCGTCAGCTAATCTGAACCGGAGTCAGTTATGGAAAAATCCATATATGCTAGGGAACTTTATAGTGTTTTTATAGCCGGTGATGAGAAATCTGAATTCCCGCACCTCATCTTAATACAATGATAAATTTGTTCTGTTGTGGGGCACCGCACTCCTTCGAGACAATAGAACCATGTTCATTATTATAGTGCTATTCGCCTTGTACCGTGACCTATTAATTCACACTTACTATGACCTGACGGGACATATTAAAGAGTTACAGTGCTAACATGAAACTCTATCGAATTTGGTTTGTTGGCCGGGATCAGAGAAAAGGACATCGGTAACAGACTGTTCAATTACGTGAGAGTTTCTCATGTGTTGAATAGCTATTTACTTAGTTGGTTTTCTGTGTTTGGCGTCTGTATATATGCCAGACAAACGCTGGAGCACAGCGGCTCATGATTGAAAAACCCTGTCACCCTTGTACAATACCTAATGGAAAGCGTACAAACCCAGCATTTCCTGTGATGACAAAATTCACTGTGCCACACTCAACACATAATTGTAGCTTAAGCAATGTCACATCACATTTCAAATGACTGGAAAAAGACTGGGAGACTGTTAGCTTACAATGTACATTTTATTTGAAATTCATCAATTTAAAGAGCATTTGTTTATTTTTTCTTATTTCATTAATGTTAAAAAAAGATATTGGCAAAATAACTGAGAAAGATATTAACCTTGTAAAATCTATCAACTTGAAAAAAATCTTTACAAAAGACGACAAAAAAAAAGACTTACTATGCTTTCTGATAATATGTCATCGAGTCTTGTGTTTAGACACAAATACCCAGACAACCCTGACAATCCTGAATTCTGATTTCTATTCGATGTCAATAATGTAATTTGACCAGGGATCTATGCCCACTTTGAACATTTCTGTCAAGAACAACTACAATTTAGGAGCAGAGAATATTATTTGGTCTTTTTTAACAAAAGCATTATGTCTGTTTGATTGGATTGTCATAATTTTCCTTTTCATTACCATAAAATACTGCATTCGATAAAGCAAAGAAATTCATTGTCAGATGGGCTTGGGTTTGGCATGATGGATGGAGAAAAACAGTGTATGTTAATTAATTATCTGCTGAAACAAAAGAGAAATTCTATTGACCATCTACCGAGATGACCTTCACCTTAGGCATCAACAAATTCTACAACTAACGGAGAGTATTTGTAAAAATCATTATCTTATAATACAAAAATCTATAGAAACAAAAGAAATCATTAGAAAAGGCTCAGATAACCGATAGACAAAAACTTATTTTAAAACCCAATGAATGTGAAATATCCTGTGCAATATGATATCAGACAGAAAATTGATTTATCAATGAACATCAGCACCACAGACACAAACTGAACAATTCTCACAATTGTATCAATCTAAATATAGTCACATATCTGTCCAACCAACCTCTGTATTCATCCTTTACTGTGACCCAACAAACCTCACTATTCCTCACTTCCATCAAAGGGATTAAATGATTAATATCATTTAACTCATAATCCCACAATTCCACCAATCCCACAATTCCACCAATCCCACAATTCCATTATTCCATCAATTCCACCATTCCATTATTCCATCAATCCCACAATTCCATTATTCCATGAATCCATCAATTCCATCAATTCATCAATCCCACAATTCCACCATTTCCACTATTTCATCAATTTTCCTTTTCCATCAATCCCACAATTCCATCATTTCCACTATTTCATCAATTTCCCTTTTCCATTAATCCCACAATTCCATCATTTCCACTATTTCATCAATTTCCCTTTTCCATCAATCCCACAATTCCATCATTTCCACTATTTCATCAATTCCCCTTTTCCATCAATCCCACAATATCATCAATTCCATTATTCCATGAACCCAATCAATCCGACAATCCCATCTATTTCATCAATCCCACTTTTCCATCAGTTCCACCATTCCACCAATCCCACAATTCCATCAACCTTACATTAATGAATCCAACAATTTTATAAATTCATTTTTCCATCAACTTCCCACAATTCTATAGCTTCTGTAATTCTATTTACTAATAGTTCTATGAATAAAAATAAGCAGAAAAGCTTCTATGCACCCAAGTTTTATTTAACTCTATCATTCTATCAACTTTCCATTTTCATTAAAACTCAACTTCTTTCATTCCTTTACTGTTATATATAATATAATCATGTCTTCTGTATTCCTACATCAGTTAGAAGTTTTGGATATTATTTATTTAAAATGTTTCCCAAAACCAAATCATACATATAAGATTGAGTACTTACCAAGTAATGCTTCCATGTCAATCGAGCCAGATTGTATAAGGAATGCTCGGGCCCTTGCTCCTTGATCTGCTTCCTCTGTGCTCTTGTGACGCGGGATACACATAGGTGAAGTTTTTGGTGTGGACCGACCAAGCGGTCCTTCCTGTTCTGCATACCTTTCTTCACAAACTTCAGATTCCAATAATTCTTCACTGCTGTGTTCGAGCTCTCCTCTCTTTCCAATCAATTTACGTTTTATACTATCCTTACGTGTGTGAACTATACTTTTGACTCGTTTGCCCCATGTTGGTTTTTTCTTTCCCAGTTTAGGAGAGTCTGTGCTGGACACCTTAAGGTCTGACAAATCACCATGTGATGACCTTCCTTTGTAACTGGACGAACGTCTTAAGCTGAGATATTCCTCTGTTAGGTCTGCAGGTGTATCATCCAGCAGGGACGGACTTGACTTTCTACGTGGGATCGTTACATTCAGATACTGATCACCAGCTGATGCGGTATTTAAGACTACAATTTCTTTAGTGACATCAGATTCTATTTCGCTCTCATGTTTTTCTAGCCATTCGGGATCCCCCATCCATATTTCTGTCCCAAATTCTTCTTCTTCCTCTTCCTCCTCAGCTTCACCTTCTATCCCAAGTTCACGACCTTGAGTTGGACTAGATGGCTCACCTGAGGATGTTGACCTCCGAACCTCTTGACCCTCGACCTCTAGCCCACTACCCACCCCACTATCTACTGATCGATTTTCCACTGTACTTATGGGAACTGTTAACTCCTTGCTCCCTCTACCTAAGTCTTTGATAGATCTTAAACTAAATCCAATATCTTCAGGAAACCTAGGTTTGGTTATAACTCTTTTAAACTTTACCCAGTTTGAAACCTTTGATTTACGCTTTGAAGATGAAGATTTTAAACCTTTAGATTTCTCTGCCTTTTCATAAGATTTTGAGTGGACTTTCTCCAAATTTTCCTCTTCTCCAGATTGTTCTAGGATTTCGGATGGAATGTCAAGAGAGCCAGTTGAGCGACTTCGCTTGTGGCTGACATGCTTGGAACGTTTTGAGCTATACGATTCCGAAGCAGCCTGATCTAGGTCAAAGAAGCACATGTCCTCAGCACTAGAAAGTCTAGGCCGACTGACTTTGTGCTTTCCATAGGATGTCTGCTCGGACTTGGTGTAGCTGTAGTCCGTCTGTGTCATTATTTCCTGCTCCAGGGCTGTCTTCACCTCCAATATGCTCTTAGTACTTTCGAGATAGGCACACTTTCTTTTCAGCTTGGAGTTCTCATCTTTCAGCGAGGATAATTGTTCCATCAGTCGTACTAAGTTGTCAAGGTGATCTAACCCCACACTCTGGCGTACTGGGCTTGGACTAGGTGAACGTGGTTTAACAGGTATTTTCTTAACCCCTTGACCTTTGGACTTATCCTGTTCCTCAAAAAACTCCAAGACCTGTGATACATCCGGTGAAGGAGTTGCAGACAGCCCCTGTGGCATCAATAATTGGCCACCGCCGGTTCCCATGGTGATAGACTCACCTGGAACATCTTCATCCAGGGTGATATCCGCAGTCATTGACGGCTCACCACTGGATGTTGTTGCTGTGGCAATGGATGCTGGTGGCATCTCTGCCTCAGTAAGGTAAGTCATCTTGATTTGGCGTTGCTCCAACTGGACAGCCGGTACAATATGGCGTTCCGATGTCGGGAGGGCGACAAAGCACGTCTCTGGTTCGATTTCATTAGGGGGCTTCCTTGTGGCCATTTATCTAACAACATGCCACAACTGGAGATCTGCAGAGAAAAACAGTTACGCTTATTAGAAACTTACAACTGAAAGAGAATTTAAGCTTTTTTTTCACCACCAGTAAAACCTTAAACATATCCCCTAAAGAGATGTGAGAAACAGAAAGATAAAGTTAAATATGAAATTAGGAATGTTCTAAAATTGACAGAAATAATGATTTGATAGAAATAAGGTTTTGATGGAAAAAAGGTTCTGATGGAATGAAACTTAAAGGGAAATGTGTGACTGAAGAAAACAAAATGATCATGGAAACAAGACTTTGATGACTTTGACAGTAAAATCTGTAAACAAGGAGTCCACAGACGATTGAAGCCCAGTAATATTGGAAATTCTGCAACCCATCAGAGAGGAAATATATGAAAATAAGAAGTTGAATAATATTTTCCAAAGACATAAGGAATATTACAGAAACAATGTCTGCAACCATTTGATTTCTTCAAAAATACTGTTTAGAAAATATTTCTCATTAAGTGACCTTGAAAGAGAGTCAATTCTAGTCATATGATTCACAGAGATAGCTTTCAGAAAATACAATTATGTTGTGTGTCATTGAAAGTTTAAAAGTTTTGATTGAATTTTCGTTCTACTTGTACACATATGATCTAGATAAAAATCATTTCAAATTATATTATACAGGAATAACAGTAAGAAATGAGTTGCTTTAATTTAATTTCAATTAAAACGTACGTAAAACTTTTTATTACAAATACACCATTTCAATTATCTTTCATGTTGATAAAATCATAAAGCTTTAAAATGATTGATATCAATTTCATTTTTTTTATTTTCATCAAATTAAATCTAAATGATATTTATAACCTTCCAAAATAACTTGGTACTTATTCAAAATTGCTTAAATGATACTGATATATGACATATTTGTATGTTCTCATGTCACGGGTTTAAATTTAGTCTGATAAAAGGGAGATAACTCCAGTAAAATCCAGTATACTCCTTTTGTTTTGAGGAGGGATTCGTCACTTAACCACTAAATCAGGTCTTTGATAACATTGTTTCTCAATCAAATCTATGCCATTTTCAATGAGAAAAGAGGTTCTAGATAGTTTTTTTAAAAAAATAGTTTGAACATTTAAAAATTTCAAAATACAAGTACCACAATTGAAAACATAGTTGATATGTTCCTGTCTTCATTCATAATCAAGAGTCTTATGAACTGAAAACCCATAACATAAATACTCTTTGTGAAAAAGAAAACTATAATAAATGTATTGTCTTTGGCAAAAATCACAAAAATTTGATTTTTTTTTTCATTCATATCAAACACATTACCCAATAAATTCCAGAGGAAATTACGTTCAGTGCATATCAATAAACTACTTAGATAAGGAGCTCATTCTTATCTAAGTTTTTTTAAACAGACATTCTTCCACTTAACAAATACTTGTAGAACTAAAATTAGATTTACTCTTAAATTTATATTTGGATATTTCTCAATTTCCAAAAAGAAAACAAAGAGACACCGTCATATGAAATGTGAGAAAGATCCACTCAGTGCTTGTCAAGAACTTTAATATATGGGCTGACCATAAAGTAAGGAAACTGGGCAATTTGAACTAATCTGATGATGAAGAAATGAAAAAGTAGAATCATAAATATGAGTAAGAAAGTTTTTATCAAAATAATTTTAACTTGATACAGAATGTTTAATAAAGCAACTCTTTCATTCTGCCATTTGATTGCACTTTATAAGAGATAGGAACTTTCCTGTTTTCACCCAATGATCCACCGAGATACAAAAGATACAAGGGGAGGTAATGACCTACTGTACCAACATATCACTACACATTGAACTGTTTCAACATCACGTTGTGTTTGCCTGCGATGCCATGTCATTTACAACCCTTGTAAATTCCATTGTAAGATAGTGTAATTGTTATATTTACATTTCTTACCATTTTTGCTGGTTTAAATACTTTCTAAATATATTTATTCTCAAGAAGTTATCTATGCACAACTGATGAAAAAGATTGATCAGTGAACTATGAAATTCCAATGGTCAGGTGAGTTATGGCATTTATTGTCTGATAAATTTCACTTCTGTTTAATGGGAAATGATAATTAAGCTAGGGCATCTTTACGGAAAATTAAAGTTGGTATAAGAATGTCAGTTTCATCTAAAGACAAACCTGTCTTAAAGGCCACCTTTATACAAAGGTCACCTGTCTGTGAAAGCCACTTTTCTCCTTTGAGTGACCTTTATAGACAGGTTTGACAGTATTCCACAATCAGTAATTATAAATGGATATGTGATGTTTTGGTAGCTACTGTCAATCTGTTTCTATTATTAGCCTAAAACATGAAGAATTTTGTCTAATAAAGGTGAAGTGTCCTTTGAATTTCTGACTAAGCACAACATGAAACCATACTGAATGTGTATATGCTCATTGGCTATTTTTACAAACAATTGATAACCCATAAAATTACAAGAATTAAGATATGTCTAATGAATAGACCTGCCAGAAAAAAAGATATGGATGAAAGTATAAAAAATTGATATATGAAAAGTACTCCATCAAAGCTAAAAAACCTTCACCAAATTATAAAATATCAATATATAGAGCCCTTTCATTTTGGTTTTATGAAAAGACTGAAATTTGTGTTTTTAATCACTGTATTTCTTAATAACAATATCTATCAAGAGAGATTTTCTATGAAAAACAATCATAACTAATTTTGGTTTAGGCTGATGATAAAAAAAAAAAGCTTGGTTGTCCTTCTTAATGATACTGAGAGTACATTTTAATCCAAAAAGGGGAGATAACTAGTACGACCTACCCATAAGTGTCCATCATGAGTCTACCTCCAGTTGCGACCTACAGGAGGCAGACGTCCATTTTGTATTGTGTAAAGCAGCCTCCCACCTCTCCAGCCTAAAAAAGAGAACAATTTCTACATTATTGTGGAGACAACATTAATTTATATCATGGAAACAACACACTGAATATATAAACTTTATTTATTAACACAACAATTGTGATAAAAGATATCAGCTTATATTAATCACTGTTGGTGACCCAGATTGAAAGGCAAGGGATGGTTATGTGGGAAGTACCTGGGGAAAACCCAGGTGTTCGGGCAGGTGACCCCCCCACAAACCTTTTCACTTCCATTGCGGAAATTGAACCTGTAATGGCTAGGTGCAAGGCAATCACATTAAAACACTGCACCACCTGACCACCCACTACACACAGTATCGGTTATAGTGAAGTCACAAACATTTTATCTACAGCAAAGTTGTGGCCAGTTGAAGATAATCACCATATGAAATTGTATATTAATACCGGAGTTCAGCTTTAACAATGACACAACATATAAACACAACATTGATGTACTTAAATCTAAAAAAAATCCTTCCTTTTTTCACTAACTTGCTATATTTATCTTATCTTTTAATGTACCCAAGAGTCCAACACAAACTCGAGGGGGGCAGGATAGTCTCATGTACAGCACTGGTTGGCATTTTTATAGAAACTGCATTAAAAGTTGATAGGCTTATCACCAGAAAAAATATAACATTCATACATATTCTTCATTATCAATGAATCAATAGATTATCACAGTGTTAACACTGAGGATACATCTGTAACATTACCTCACTGAAAATGTCTCACATCTGACAACTACCGGCTGTTACCATGGGAACCAGGGTGGCCAATGTTTCTGTGTTTCTTAGGTTTCTAGTTCTGTAAGAAAAATATAAAATAACATTTACATCTATATTGTTTTTTTAAAAGAAATTTATTTACAAACACAGTTTTCCCTTTTATAAGAAACTTCATAGACTGCTTGGTCTAGGAATTGAGAAGTCACACCTATTAAGTAAATACTCTCTTTAGAAGCAAAAATGTTTTCATTCTCATTCTTAGTCCAAGCCGATGGGTGTCATCTCTCTCTCTCAGCCATGTATAAGTAAAAAAAAAACTGAAACACCTCAGCTGACTAACTCTATCTACAGATTCTGTAACGTCCTCCGAGCAGTGACCAAGCTGACCAGTTAGAACAGACCTTTCCCATTCTTGGTCTGACCATAACAACAGATATATTTTCAGAAATTGCGGCTTAAACTTTTTTGAATGATGAAATGTTTGTATATTTGAACTTAATATAGATATGGGAATTTAAGATGAAACAGATTTGTTACATCCATCAAGACAGACTGTAAAGGTATGACATGTAGGTATTTGTATCCTATATATATATCTACAACAAAAGAAATCTCAATGCTTATAATATTTTGGAGCGATTTTCTTCTCTGATGAATTTGACATGATAGAACAAGGCTGGTTAATGTCCTGAATATCTTATAAGCAAGTATGGTAAACATCCTGAAACATTATATGAACAACTACGGTAAATGTGAACATTAGAATGTGTAGACTTATATCTCCTAAAACATAATAGTTTGTACGGTAAATATCCTAACTATTTAAGAATGTGTACAGTAAATGTCCTGAATATTATATAAGCAAGTATGGTTAATGTCCTTTGCATTATAAAAACAAGTACAGTTAATGTCGAAAACATTATAGAAATGTGTACGGTAAATGTCCTAAGTATTTTAAGACCAAGTGCAGTAAATGTCCTGAATGTTATAAGAATTTGTACAGCAAATGTCCTGAACATTATAGAACAAGTGTGGTAAATGCCATAAACACTATAAGAACAGAGACAGAATCATATACATGTAGTATATCCTTGGGTAGACACCTAGTCCCTGATCAGAGAGAAGCAGGGGTGGGCTTACCACAGACAATGAAATGCATTTGTTGGAATCTCTTCTGAAAATATATGAGTACATGGACCAATTACCAGACATGGGCTTCCTGCCAGACAAATATGGTACACAATCGAAAAGAAAATATATAATATGTTTACAAAGGGTCATAATGATTGTAACAACAATTAGAGTTATGTTTACTAAGCCCTCCTTGCCTGGTCTACACATACAGGCTGTTACTTAAGGAATGCAGCTGCTGCTTTGTCTAACTCACAATAGGCAATGGTACCTTACCACATTCACCAACCAACACACCGCAATTTTTCACAACATACATAAAATTTGTATCCATCGGGTAAAAAATCAGAACAAAATATCTTGTTCTCAAGTTAGACAAGACAAACCCAATATTATATGTATTTAGCCATATATGGAAAGAAACCCCAGGTTATAAGCCTAGTATACATACATGATATAACATCATATTCATCATTGTTGATAATTGTTGTATAGCTTTTGTCATATATTACATCAAATATTGACAATTAGAGTGTATAAGCATGTCACTTGAAGTTCATTTCAAAAGGACTTTGGGGGAAAAAAGGATTTTGTGTAACCATTTCTGACTTGTTTCTATAACTAATCCATCAATATTTGTATTTTGTAATCTTTTGTCAGAATTTTGTAAATTTAGAATTTAAACGATTGTTAGGTTATTTGCTGATTCATTCATTGGAATATCCACTTAATTAGTTCTTAATGGTGAAATAAATTGTGTTTTGTGTGAGGTTGATCATTAGAAATATTAACTTTCTGAAAAATCCTGTATTTTCGTGGGGCTCAAATTTTGTTGTTTTCAAAAAAGATACATTTCACTTGGAACTGTATTTGGTTTATAAATCAGATTCTCAATATTCACTATAATCCATGTCAACTTTTATCAGATTATATATCATTTACGCTGACAAGTACTGTGAGGGCAATAGTCAGATAATTAAATAACATTCATTCTCCTAGATCTGCTGAACAGCAATAAATGTGGGCTTATTATCGAACATGGGCTTATTATCGGACATAGGCTTCAGGCTCTATTAATCTCGCCATTTCAATAAGTCCATGAGGCCAACACAATAACAGGACATTGAATCAATGTTTTTTTTGCAATTTTACAGAGCAACAACATACATGTACTGGTATATAGATGGGCTTATTGTTGTGAAAAAGATTAATGCAAATTAAGTGTAAAAAGAGCATACCTCATGGCCTTATATTTACCGTTGTGACACATCGATACCATGTAACCTTATCAAAGTCAGTTGTACATTACCAGCTCATGAACTGCCAACAGTGTAGGAATATTGCAAGTGATGTAACCAAACTGAAGTTGCCTTCCCTACTGATCAGATAAAAAATGAAAACAGTGAATATAAGCATTGAACTGCTTTCACTTGGCATTCATGAGCTATGAATGCCAACAGGATAGGCTGTTGGCCTTGGAATAGGCTTTTGACTTTGGACCTTGAAAGTATCATATGTCAAGGATGTTCCTTAGCACTAACAAAACATTAAGCCTTGGAAGTCAACACAATACCACTAACTTAAAGTCAGAGGTGGACTTGTTACCAGTAATCCAAATGCCAACTGATTGCAATTGACCTCATTAGCATTAATAAACATAAGTTGTTTAAAGATTTGTGATTTTAAAAGCCAGTTTTGTTTTGAAACAAGGTAGGCTGCCCGCCATCTTTAAAAAGTACATGCCAAATATCAACACTATAAAATGTAGTTGTTCAGATGCGGTCCTTGAAATGTTTTACTTGTATGATTTAAAAAAATAAGTCAAGATATATCTATCCTAGCTAATTTGATACCCATATATCTAATTATGTTCACAACAAAAAATCTTAACCTCTCATCTATGCAGAAGAAATAATGAAGTTTTACAAATAAGAAACATCTGTGGTTTTGAAAAGTGGTCACAATCATCCATTTGAACTGTTTAGATTGTTTGCTATCTTAACTTACTTAAATACCAACTATCACTATGGTATAGGCTTTATGGTTTATTAGAAGAAGCCTTTTCTTGGAACATTTTGATATATTTCATCCCTATTATCTAAAACAAAGGTCTAACGTGCTGCATGGTATCTAATGGGCTAGAAATTATCCCATATCACATGGTTCTTAAGAAAATGTCAAATATCAATAACTATAGGACAACGATGAAGATAAGATGAAAATATTTGGTCACTTGAAGAGCCTTTGATTCAGGTGACCTAAAATGTTGACGCCCATGACTGGAAGTGTAAGACAACAAACTAAATAGTGCAGACCTGGCGTGTTTGAGTATAACACACAAACTTAAGCTGGGAATGTGTGGTATTTACTCGGGAACACATACAGCAGCTGTAGCGCCACTTTGCCAGCCCTGTATGAAATATATAAAAAAATAAACATAAAATTCTGCTCATCATGATTTTGACAATAGGCCTTGGATCTCTCTGAATTCATATTGTGCATCATCTCCCGCTAGATCAAGCTAAAGACTTTTGTAAAGTCAGATGCGATAAATATTTCAGAAAAATATGAAAGGAAAACATTTCAAAAAGATACTTGAATATGTAAGGAACACATTCTTTCTTTCTGTAATATTTCTGAGCCCTCTTTAGTCACAATACAGCATTATATTTACAACAGACAGGAATAGTGTACAGCTTATCAAAGAATGTGTCTATACTTGAGGTAAGTTGAGTTTAGACAAGATATGCTCTTGTATCCTGTATGCAGGCAAGATAAATATATCTGTCTGAAGACAAGGTATATATGTTTATATATAGGCATATAGTGAGCAGAGAAGATATGTCCCTGTATCCTGTGTGTAGACAAGGTATATATGTTTATATATAGGCATATAGTGAGCAGAGAAGATATGTCCCTGTATCCTGTGTGTAGACAAGGTATATATGTTTATATATAGGCATATAGTGAGCAGAGAAGATATGTCCCTGTATCCTGTGTGTAGACAAGGTATATATGTTTATATATAGGCATATAGTGAGCAGAGAAGATATGTCCCTGTATCCTGTGTGTAGACAAGGTATATATGTTTATATATAGGCATATAGTGAGCAGAGAAGATATGTCCCTGTATCCTGTGTGTAGACAAGGTATATATGTTTATATATAGGCATATAGTGAGCAGAAAAGATATGTCCCTGTATCCTGTGTGTAGACAAGGTATATATGTTTATATATAGGCATATAGTGAGCAGAGAAGATATGTCCCTGTATCCTGTGTGTAGACAAGGTATATATGTTTATATATAGGCATATAGTGAGCAGAGAAGATATGTCCCTGTATCCTGTGTGTAGACTATGTCCCTGTATCATGTATGTAGACAAGATATGTCCCTGTATCCTGTGTGTATACTATGTCCCTGTATCATGTATGTAGACTATGTCCCTGTATCCTGTGTGTATACTATGTCCCTGTATCATGTATGTAGACAAGCTTTGCTCCTGTATCATGTGTGAAGACTATGTCCTTGTGTCTTGTGTGTAGATATATCTCCTTGTATCCTGTGTGTATACAATACATCTTCCTGTATCCTGTGTGTATACAAGCTTTGCTCCTGTATCATGTATGAAGACTATGTCTTTGTGTCTTGTGTGTAGATATGTCTCCCTGTATCCTGTGTGTATACTATGTCCCTGTATCCTGTATGTAAACAAGCTTTGCTCCTGTATCATGTGTGAAGACTATGTCCTTGTGTCTTGTGTGTAGATATATCTCCCTGTATCCTGTGTGTATACTATGTCCCTGTATCCTGTATGTAGACAAGCTTTGCTCCTGTATCATGTGTGAAGACTATGTCCTTGTGTCCTGTGTGTAGATACATCTCCTTGTATCTTGTGTGTAGACAAGATATCTCTGTGTACAATGTGTGCAGGTACAATATCGTCCTA